TCGTGTGAATCAGAAATAACAGAATTATTCAAAAGTATAAGGACTATTCTGTACTTTTTTCAAAAGTCTATACCTAAATGTTGTGAAAAGTTATAATCGAAAAACCATCTTTCGGAGTAAAGTCCGTCTGCGCCGATTTCAATAACTTCGTACTTGATCAGAACTGGGTTCCAACAGAATTCCTACAAACTCATGAATGAAATAGTTATTGCATGGAATACTTACTTTTGTCAAAATCAAAATAGAACTCTAGTTAAAAATATATTGTGCTAAATTATTGCCATTTCTTAGTAAAATGTCGTTCTCCGGTACGTTGCCAAAATTATTCGATGGCACCCCGTGTTACCGCAGAATCATGTTCAGTAGGTTACAGGTAGCTACTCAAAGATGTTGACTTCACTCGTTAAAGGTGAGCAAAATTAATTAATTTTCAGGTAGATTTTAATTTAAACATTAAACAATTATATAAGAAAGGTTAAGTATTAGAGTCAAGATTAACAGACATCATCTGAAAATTCTTCAAATCAATTCTGTTGAAAGCCCATAATCATGGTAAATATATTTGAAATATCCAGGGTTTAAACATACATGTATATATATTTTACATGTGCATGCATCAAGTCCTTGCCAGAGCATGGTATTGTACTGTATCATATTAGAGATGACTAACTTATCTATCAAAATTATTCACACTTAATCAAGCAATCTATCACACAATTAGCAATAATTAAGTCAAGATACCGAGATAATGGAGAGTAAAGTCTAAAAATCATGAACCAAAATCTGTTTAATTAAATACAGGCCATGCCTGCCATATAAGCAATTAACAGGAAGATAGAGAAAACAAAGGTTCAACTGTCTACCATACTAAGTGATAAAGAGGTCTAGAAAAGATGTATAGAACAAGTAGGTGTTATGGGTCTAATTATGGCAGATAGCCTAGAGTGTAAAACAGTTAACCCAGGGAGAGTGTACCATACACCTGTATAGGATACAAGACACATGTGGTGGGATGTATAGTACAACTGCCAACGTATATATAGTCCTCCAGATAACTGCAAAGTTCTGATCAAATCTGATCAGCTCTGGAAAACTCGTTAGTGTTTAAGTTGACAGATTATTTAGATAAGATGTAAGTTATGGGTTTGTCTTCTTGGTTTTAGTCTAGAGTGAATTCACTGTCCTCCACTCATAGACAGATTGCAGTCTGATTCAATGTATTTTTAAAGGCAAATATCTGGTGTTCTTTGAAGTATTCAAGACTAAATAAGATGTTACTAGTATACAATACATGTACTATACTACCCAGAGACAGATATAATATTTACTCCAGTTTCAAGTTAAATATTCTAAAATGGAATATGGAGTACCAAATTTCATTTGGTATAATTATATTTTTTGATAGAGAAAATGGCCATTGTTAAAACCAAATAAACATGAGATTATTAATTTATTAGGGTAGTTAATACTTCATGCCTAGTTCACACTTCAAAACTAAGTTGAATTCAGATGTCATCTTGAAAATAGAATGAGCCTAAATGGATTACTGTCTCAAAGGGTATCTAAGTCTAGATATGTGTTATGAGTATGAAAATGTTTTGAATACTTTTGCGCATGGGACTTCATGTTTATCCCTAAAAAATGGTTGTGATATTATTTCATAATGATACAAGATACTTTTATTTTTTAAAGACCAATTAAAGACCAATGACCAATTTCTGCATCTTAAACTTTCATAAAATAAATTCCACAATGATCAAATTATGATACCTTTATTACTTAATGTAATATGAGGTAATTTGAGTGTGGGGAAGTATTTTTGCATGAATTTAACAAATGAACCACCCCCTCCCAGTCACAAAATCCTGGCTATTGTAAGCCAAATAACATAATGAAGGCAAATGAATATCAGTCAGTCAAGCTAGTTATCTATCTAGATCACAATGTGATATTATGCAGATAGAACTTTATTTTATTTTATTGCCTAATTTTCAATTCAATTTATTTATTTCATAATTCTTATATAATATACACTATAAAAACCAGCCGCTTTTATTGCCTAATATATAGGAATTTGCAGGATATGAAGTTTAAGAATGGAAATGTCTACAGGGGCGTAGCCAGCTTTCAGTCAGTGCAGGGGGGGGGTAGTATGTATCCAACAGACTGACTAGAAGTCAGTCTGTTATGATGTACTACTTTCCTGTGGAAATTGCAGTGAAATTTTTTGCACAAAATTATCAATTGGAGGAACAATTTGTTCAATAAAATAAACATTACAGAATCGCCCAAAAAATTCTATTTTCAGTCAGGGGATGCGATTGTGGCATAAAAAGCCAATAATTAAGATTTACTGTATCTTGAATTTTTCCTTCATAATCAATTGAGCTAGAAGCTTCAAATAAAAAGCATTCCAAAGCTCTTTTCTTCTCATGGTTATATTTTATTGGTTATGGGAGGGGGGGGGTGCGATCGCCAATTGCACCCCCCCCCCATGGCTATGCCTATGGTCTAATTGAAATGTAAAAACTCTGCATTGAACTACACTTATTAAAAGTTGCTTTCACATTCAAATAGCTGATACAGATATTCTATCTACTAGTATACTCATATGAACAGAGATATAGAATTTCAAACTGAAACATTAAGATAATCTGTTCTGTCATTGACACAATATTTATGGCCAGCTAAATTTCTGAGAATTTAATGTGTTTCAGTTGTTTACTCCTGGACTATATATTTGTTTTGGAATGTTTCAATTTCAAAGGAATCTGAGTCATGTAAGAAGCTGTGCAAAGGATCTGTCAAGCAAGAACAATGCTAGGTAGTGTTAACAAGGATTTATCACAAAAAGCAAGCTCACTTTCAACTTAAAGGGGTAACAAAGATAAATGAGCAAATGGCAACTTTTAAAAATATTTTACTATATAATGCTGCTATTCTATATATATATTTTTTTTTTTACTTACAGCATGATATTTCCGAAAATAAAAGCCCTAACACACTGGCTCTAATTCATTATTATCATTTGATATCAAGGTTTGCCATTTAATATTATCTGGGAATGATTTTGGAGGGGAAAATTGACATATACTATTTTATGCTCTCTATTCTTTATTGCAACTTTAAGCATCAGTTTTATTTCATTTTATGAATGAAAAAAATGAAAGAAAAAAACAAATTCTGTAAAAAAATGTGAATTTTAAAAAATGTGAATAAGAAGTTAATAAAAGTCGAATAAGTACTCAAAGAAGTCTCTGTCAGTTAAAACATAAATTCAAAGTATCAACAGATGGTAGTAATGATAGAAAACATATACAAGAAGTGAACAAAAATAATCAGATAAACACAAACTTAGCCACAATTTAAGATCTACAGCACATTCATTAATCTGGAGAACTGGTGTTTTTCACTGAATGTTTCAAAATTATGGATTTATAATTCAATGTTAATGCAATTGTACCTTAAAGTCCACGAAGGATAACATTGATTTTATATATTGGATTAATATATACTTCCATTCATAACCATGATGACTCATGTGAATTTGATGTGAATATCAATTCCTTAAGAAATAAATAATGATAGGACATTCAATATGGTGAAATTCAGTATGAGTTGGTAAGAATATCATATAAAGCATGAACCAAAGGTGAGTGCATTTGTACTGACATTCTGTCCAACGAGTGTAGAATTTCACCATATTGAATCGCCTATCATTATTTATTCCAATTCAAACATAAAAAAAATCATTCAGAGAATTGGGGATTGAATAGAGCACAGTCGTGCCAGTATGGAGAAATAATGAATGTTCATTATTGGCTATGCTGCATTCTGATTGGTTTAGAAATTCAAATAGAGCACGGTCATGTTTGAATTATTCTTCGTGCATACTAACTTATCTGCAATATTACATGCACCTTACTTCCAAAGACATAATAGTATATTGATGATGTCCTAATATTGTCGTTGTTAAGATGTTCATGTGACAATAGCAATAAGGTAAGAGTTTTTTATTGAATCAATGTACACTATAGGCTCAGTATTATTCTCTCATAAACAAACAAATAAAAAGTACATGTACATGTATATGGTATATGTTTAATAATCAAAGAAAATGATCTCATTTACACCTGTATATACTATATACCTGCTAATAACACAATAAACTACTATTCTGTTCAAATAGCAAAAATGCACATCAAGATGTGAAGGACACAAAACAAGATATTGTTTATTAGAAAGAGTAATCTGACAGTAGATATATCTGACACTACCCGGGTCTAAACACTTTGTAATTTTGACAGGAGAATGGCTCCAGAGAGGGATATTGTGTTCAAGTTTTTGATGTTTATATTAACTTCTAAAGAAACATTTCCTCTGGGTTTCGTAAGTTTAAGCGATTTGTTCTCTGTGAGATATACATAGGTTTCAATAACTAAATAATCACTGTTTTCCCTGATGATTGCTATAAGCTTAATTTCCTTTCAATTTCCACCCATAACAGCCAAAATGCTCTGCATATTTAAAACATGACACAAATTATAATTAAAGGCAGAAAAACATATATATTAAACATCAAACTAGTGGACCGTAATGACTTTAGAAGGATATCATTCATATATTGTTTTTTCATATAAATTCCATTCAAATGATAATCATGTAAACATAAAAGAAAACTGACTGTGTCAAAAGGGCTGCATCAGACTGTATAGCATAGGTAGAAGATTTATAGCAATACGAACCTTTCAGATCAACATTTTAAAAGATTGCGTAAGATCGCTATTTTGAGACTAATGTTATTTTTTATCTTAGGTTAGTTAAAGTGACCCAAATAATCATCCTTTATCTTATCAAGGCTTAAGTATTAAATCTCTCAACTCGTACTATTTATATAAATTGATTTTCAATATGACATCTAGGTACAAAAGTTCACATTAAACATAGAGTCTACCAATCAATAACATGTGATTTTCTACAACAATAAACCTGTAGTCTGGTACATTGTATAGCATAGGGAACAAATATACAAAACTGAAACAGTTCTTACTGAAACTGAAACATGGATTTGATTTCTAAATCCACAACTTTCACACGCTGCTACCATGCTGAGTAAAGCTTTAGTGAGTCAACAATGCATATACACTTATAATACATAGGTAGACCTTAATAAGCACATGGATAATGTAATGGGAAAATGCCATTATAATATAACTGTTCCTGCATGTGGTAAAACTGTACTTATATCTGGCATAAATTGAGCAGAGACACCACCATCAGGTATGTGTAAATGTATTTTTCAATAATTGTCACCAGTATTATGGATAACGACATCTTGGATTTCAGATGTATAGATTTTGATTGAAAATCAAACTGGAATGCAAGTATGGGTTGACTAAGTGCTACCTTTTATGTTTTTAAATGAAGTATTGTGATTTAAAGTTACTATAATTCACAGCTTCCTTTAATATTGTTGTTTTCATGAATCTGTATAATAACACCTGATATCAAATCAAATATATTTTTTATGAATCTACATTTTGCTTGAAGTGGAATAGCACAAAAAATCAATTCAATTTTTATTTATTTCATAATTCTTATATAATATACACTATAAAAAACAAGCCGCTAGACACCCTAGTGGGTATATGTTGCGGTTTAACAGAAATCATTAAAATGACATCTAGACTACATATAAAAGAAAACACCTATATTATGTTACATGTAGGTATATAAAAATGGTATTAACAATTTATCTAATGATGTACAATGTAAAAAATGTTACAAAAAATCAGGTACCAGTATAAAATCAACAATAACAATGAAACCATATAAAATTTATCATTTATATGATGTTAAAATTTCACTGCTGTGAACCTTGATACGAAACGATTGATTGTATTATTGTATGACTCACCACATGATAAGACATTATATTGTGTATGGTTCTTAACAAGCTATTCTTGAAGAAAACACTTAATGCTAAATTCAGCAAAAGGCTGAAGGGCATAAGGTCCTGGGATTAAAGGTCCTGAAATATTGAAATATAAGTCCTTTGCTTTGCATAGATTCACTTATAAGGGCAATTTTAAGGACAATAGCTCCTGATTGAAATCTAGCTCAAAAATGAAATTACTGCTTTGACAATATCAATTTAATAAATCACAAACATGTCAAATACATACAACAACAGTATAGTGTACCAAAATGTTTTTTCTAAAGCACATGTCATATATTCACTCTATTTAATTAATAAGATATGGCATATTTAACCACAAAACCACAACCAAATTCTCAAAGTGAGAAGCCACCAGGTTCTTTCTCACTTTAAGCTACCTAAAGGATTACTTTTACCCATTTTGACATGGATAATTTATCTCAGTTTACTCCACATTAGGCCGATATGATGAACTCAAGTGCATTTGGATATACTTTTGAAAATGCTGCGAGGATCAATATTTCTCATATTTAGTTAACAGGGGGAGGGGGGAAGGGGTTCTGGGTGTTAACTATCAAAATTTAGTTAGCTCTGCTACATGGAACCTTTGCATTGGTCCCTAAAGCCATGATATCTTACAGATTTTCAGACATTCCTCATCAAGTATTTTACAACAGTGTATCCATTAGCATTCAATATACAAAGTGTCAAAGTAAAGTAGCAAAGAAATAAATATATGACATTCTAAATTACAAAATCTCCTCACATGGTATCTGGACACTTAATATTTAGCTAAACAGACTGTGTTAGTTTTACTTTACATGCAACATTTTACTGGGTTTTTTTCAAGAACAACCTTCACTGAAAAACCTAATTTGATCTATAATGATAAAAATCTTAGCTGCCACATTTCTTTGAAACGCTTTAGTAAATTGATCTGAATGGGTGGCCTCTTTAAAATATTTTGAAATATCTATAGAAAATGCATATCTTTTTATCCTAAAACATGCACATACTGTCAAATTCTTAATTTACTTGAGTATGAAAAAGTGTCAACTAAAATTAATATCACTGTTTACTTTCAGGTGCTACCATAGCAACCAGCTGATGATACCATAGCAACAAACCAGTATTATGGATAGTTTCCTGCCTGATATTCTCCAGAAGGAGACAAAAGATGAACTGCTGTGTTGCACAATCTGCCATGGGCCGCTCATGCAGCCCAAACTTCTCCCCTGCCTGCATACATTCTGTCATGACTGCCTTGAAACCTGTATTCATTATGAGGACACATCTGATGTCATCTCAGAACAACCTGGTCAATTGAAATGTCCGATATGTAGCAATGAAGTTGAGCTAAGCGAACATGGACTGGATGAAATACCAGATAATATATTCCTGATTGCTTTACAAACTCCTGACTTTGATCCTAAATTGAGTAATGTTGATGACATGCCATGTATAGTTGTTCCTCAGAAGTGCAATAATTGTGAGTCTGACATTGCTATGTATGAATGTCATGAATGTAACCACAATCTGTGTCGATTTTGTCGTCGCGCCCATGACAGTTTGAAGATAACAAATTCTCACAAAGTGGTGTCATTACATTCTAGAGCAGCTAAACGGACATCTTTAAGGAAAACATACGTGGATGAAACGCGAGCAAATCAGGACTCTGCCTGCTGGGAACACCCAGATGATATTATAGACATGTGCTGTGTGCAGTGCGACCAACCAATATGTGCCAAATGTAGAGAAATTGATCATACCCTACACAGATGTGTACCACTGAAAGATACTGCCAAAAGAGACCGTGATTTCATCAAAAGTTCACGAGACTGTGTCAACTCAAAAGTGGTAGCTTACCAGGATGCAATTATTAACATAACAAAATATGAAAGTGACATTCAGGATAGCAAAGAACATCTTCTTAAAGAGATAAACAATAGAAATCAAAAGATGCATCAGATGATTGATGCATGTTCACAGACACTCATAGAGCAACTAGATTCGTGCTGCTCTCGGGAACAAAGTCAAATAGAATCATACAAGGAGGCCTATGACAGTCAGCTGGCATCTTTACGTGCAACGGAGGCTTTTATTGACAGGCTAGTCAAACAAGGAAAACCTGATGAAATAGTCCACATGAAGAAATATATCCTTGAAAGAAATCCACATTTCGAAGTTTGCAATCCAGAGAAAATCAACCGTAAATTGTCACTGAAATTTTCTCACATTCATATCACACAGAATGATCTACAGAAATTCTCTGGTCGGATAATTGAGACAAAGATTGCAGTACCAAAAGTTGTTGTCCAAACCAAGTCCCCTTTACCATCCCCTTTATCTCCAATGGGGTCTACATTGAAGTCTGAACAAGTATCTAACTTTACTTCAAAGACTTTGAATGACAAGATGGGGTGCAAGCCAACTAGTATCACAGTCACTGATACAGATGAGATTATAGCTATTGACGATATAAATAAAAAGATCAAAATATTCAACAAGCGGGGACGACTTATCAATGAGTTAGCTCCAGAAGGTTCTAATAAACTCATAGACCCATGGGATGTATGTGTCTTGAAAAATGGACATATAGCTGTGACAGATCGAGCGCATGGAGTTTGTGGCATCAAAGTGTTCAATCTGGATGGGAAGTTTATTGAGACATTGTGCCCACATCTGAAGACCCCCTGGGGCATCACAACCAATCGTAAAGGTGAAATCATCACCACTGATATTGAAGAGAAATGTGTCAAGGTCCATGATGCCGAAGGAGGCCTCCTGTACTCGATCCCCGAACCAGGGGAAGATCAGATATTTATGTGTCCAGAGTATGTCTGCGTCAACAAAAATGACGACATCATTGTCTCAGATTTTGAGGGTCACTTTATCAAGGTGTTTGACTCCCAGGGGAGATTTCTGTATCAGTACGGCAGTTGGGGATTCCTCCCTCAACAGTTAGATGTACCATGTGGAATCTGCACCAATCGGAATGGAGATATCCTCGTGGCTGACTACAACAACCACAGGATCCATATCATAACCACAGATGGTAAATTCAAGGGGTACGTCTTGACTGCAGATGATGGAATCCGGCAGCCCCAAGATGTGGCAATCAACTCCGAGGGTGAGCTGGTTGTTTCGGATGGCAAAAACATCAAAGTGTTCAAATACTACGAGGGCCCAATGTCCACAGACTGTATGGATTATGATCAGCCAATCAGGACGTATGATACACCAGGACCTACGAAAAGGCCTGTAACTATAGCAAAACCACCAGTGCCTTCTAAATCACACATTGTCACAAAACCAAAACCAACTGCCACCTATCTTTTAGAAACAGGATTATAAACACCAACATTGGTACAATTAGGCATGACCTAACAATGCAGCTTCAAGGGTTTACTGTGACTTTTTAATCCCTTGGATACCAGCTGGGCATCTTTAAAATTTTGCCACGATTCCCATTTTTTCACTGAATAAACAATTTGTGATGTTCAGAATGGTTATGGTAAACACAGACCCAATACACACATTTTAAATCAAAAATTATGTGAATTGAATAGACATTGAAAAGGCCAAAGCAACTCAGGTGAAAAATAGTGCTACACTTTTTGTTATGTCGCTGGTATCCAAGAGGTTAATATTGCATTAACGTTTATTTTGTTCCTGTCAAACACATACTCTATTAAGATGATATTATATTAGCATTTAGATTGTAATTTCAGCACTGTGAGAGAAACTTATGTTACACAAAGGGCTTAAAATCAGAATGGCAATCAAACACCAACTTTACAGTCTAGTATTACCATAACATGTATTCCTAGGTTTAGCCATAAAGGAGCACTAAAGGATAGAATAAATCCAAAAGTTATAATTTCCTTTAAGTCCAAAAGTTTAATGTTAACTTGCATTCATTCTAAAACAAATTGATATTTTTCAATTTTCAAGCATTAAGGAATTTCTATATCTTTAATTACCTCCTTTGATCAGATATCCTAAATCCTGTTTCAAATATTGAAATTTGGATTTGTAACATTTGTAAACATTTACATTGGTTATTGAAAAGATTGCTCCAAACATTTTACACATTCTACCCTTTGATGCCACTTTAAAGCATTGTTATGGAGTTTAGCAAATCACATAATCATAACATGTAAATATATAGTAAGAGTTAAATTCATTATCATAAGATAACATTAGAAATCTTTACAAAAAGCTATGCAATCAATTCACAGTATATGCAAACTGTACTCATGCCATTATAGTATTATAATGAAAATATACAAGGAAAGTAGATGCAATGCACTTTTTATTGACATTGAGTTTTTCATATTTCTCAATACAAACAAGCTACAGACAAGCTCCATACAGAGGTATTGATATTCCAATATAACATTGATATTCAACAAACATAATTTATTACAATTCATAGGAGAAAGTAAAGATCCATAACATTGTGTCAGTCTCCATCTGTGTTTAAATGGTTAATTTGATGAAATCAAAAAATGTTATCTTTACTGGGAGAGGAAGGAGCTTAATCCAAAATGTAATTAATTATACTTTGGAAAATCAAAATGTTGACACGGTCCCTAAATCTTGAATGAATTAATAACCATGGCGACCAGAATACCATTTTATAGATTGTGGTATACAAGCCTATAATATCCCTTCAAGAGAATAGTTGGTACCAGACAATGAATATATCTTATACAACCAACAATTGTAGCTCTGTTGGAGCGATAAACCTTGCTATTCATAAAATTCATAAACAACAAATGTATGGCTATTAGTCTCAGTTGGATAGAAATCCCAAGAAAATTGTAATAATCATCATAAGACGAAAGTGGTGTTATATGCAAAGATCAGTTTAATCCATGTAGAACAATCAACTTATAATTAGTTTTATAAAGAAATATATATCAAAAATACTATTTGTTAATTTGTTTTTTATGTTTATTCAATATGATACTAAAGTATTGTTTCAGAGCTCCCACGAAAACAACTTTCAACAATCAAGAGGAGTTCAAAGTTCAACCATGGCACAGAACTCTAAGTTCAACCATGGCACAGAATTCAAAATTCAGTCAAAGCGATGTCATATTTGAAATCTGCATGTAAAAGTTCATCAAGAAATATGGTTTCGAAAATTGTCTATCAACTTTGAAAATTTAATTTTTTTAAAAATGTGACTTCTTGTTCGGGTTGATCCCCCATAGACCCCATGTTACAAAATCACAAAAAAAGAAATATCTTTTCTCGTATTGGACTTACAGCATTTTCTTTTACTGGACATATTTTAATTTTTATAACTATTAGATACATAAGGGTTATATGAAAATTGAACCACGCAAATAGATGTAATTTAAGTAAAAGGGAACTTTCTACCATACCCGACATGCTATCTGACCCGTACGAGCCACCTGGTGGGGAATCTGGTAACTAACTTCTCGCATCTGCGTTATTCTGACCAGAAATATTTCATCCAATACAATGTTTTCCAAGTCGAAACTCATTATTTCCCAGTGAAAACTAAGTACTTTTAGAATTAATCGACATGTTAGCTTTGTTCCTCAGATTACTAGATTTCATCACTTTTGCATTCATCATGAATTGCCTAGTTGATTTACAATAATAAATGCAAAATTGGTTTCATCCATCGCCGGTTGGCACAAATGAATTTCACTTGTTCATACGCATAATTAGACAACAATCATCAATTTTGCATTCATTATTCTCTAAATGAAACAATAATCATTCCATTAGATGGTAATAGGAAAATAGAATTGCAAACATTTTCTCATCCTCCATTATTGTAACAGTATATAGAAAGAAACCCTGTGTTTCACATCTCATACATCACTGTACTTATGATTACCAAATGAGGAGTAACCACCGTTTGTCTTCACATGGTCCAAACAGATATTCAACATGGTACTGCACATGGTAGTTCTAATGCTGGGGAGATTACTGAGAAGTATCCATCTTTACCGTTAGCTCAATGTAATAATATGCAAAAACTGTTTATGGAGGTCATATAAGACACATTGACACTATTTTAATAAGTGCAGTACCATTTAAAAACAAAAAAATAGTACTCACCATAATCAAGAGGTGTGAATAGATGGCGCCTGCACCATTTCACAATTTTATATGTCTTCCAGATACTTTCTCCATTCAGTTCACGAGGGTTTGGTTGGGTTTTTAACAACATCAAGATCTTTTTACGGACAAACACAGCACGATGCCACTGGAGTAAAAGAGCGAAAACTATTATTTTAAAATGTAGAAAATAAAAGGCCCATGGCCAATCACCCCAAATGTTTCGCTGTAATATACATCAATATAGGCAAGATATTTGAGAAAGGTTGCAAACAAGGTTTGGCTATAATAGTGTATATGTGTGACGATTATGATACGGACTTCCTGGACATTCAAAACATAGACCTACCTCTGCAGCACGTCGTTTCCCAACATTCCATTTGAAAAACATTTCCTTAGTAGCAGCACAATAAGGGTGTAAACTGTATTCTGAAAGGAAGTAAAATGCAAATAAGCATTATCGCCAATGAGTTCACAACAGACCCCCTTCTAGAATACTCAAATAAACAAGACAGTAACATGCAAAATGTCACTACCCGCCATTTGTAATAGATGCTGACCGCGGAACACCATCCGCAAAAAAGTTGGAGACCATAATATGTCATCACTTGTGGTAGTAACATAAAAATTATTTGAAGCTGTTTTTATTATTTATTATTTTTATTTTGTGAAAAAATTCCCTCACCTTTGTTTGCTTCAGGATCTATGAGAGGGTGTTGTTTCACAAGCATCTTTACAAGACATTCCATGTTCTCAACATTTTGTAAGCTGTAATAAAGAAAGATTTGGCATTAAGCACCTATACATAATGATCACATTGAAAGCTTGACACATGTATAAGCTGGACACATGTATGAGCTGGACACATGTATAAGCTGGACACATGTATAAGCTAGACACATGTATAAGCTAGACACATGGTCAAGCTGGACACATATACAAGCAAGACACATGTATAAGCTGGACACATGTATAAGCTGGACACGTGTATGAGCTGGACACATGTATAAGCTGGACACATGTATAAGCTGGACACATGTATAAGCTGGACACATGTATAAGCTGGACACGTGTATAAGCTGGACACATATACAAGCTGGACACATGTACAAGCTGGACACATGTATAAGCTGGACATCAATGTATGTTGAACACTAAGGTAAACAGAACACTAATATGAAATAACATGAAATGAAAGCCAGCATAATATGAACACAGTGTTATATGTACACCAGTGTTATATGTACATCAGTGTAAAACATTTATGGTGTGGAAAATATTTCCAATTGAGATTTTTCAATTATAATATCTCATTCTTGATTTCAATAATTATGGGATAAATCAGTTACCGTTATATATAATGGGTGCTTTTGTACATATAAAGTAAGTCATCCTTTGAAAATATACATGTTAAGTATATCATTTATATAAACCCTCCTATTTAATAACCTTCAATATCACAATACTAAAAGGCAATGTAATATCTCACCATAGACTTTGGTCCCTGGGTTTAGGAATATGAACTGCATTTTTCTTTGCCTCTAACTCCATCTTCTCCTTGAGTTTGTTAATCTTCTCTCCATAACTAGGTTCTTGTTTAACATGCACAGGTGGAGCGCCACAGTTGGCTATCACATATGTGGTCTGTTGAGGTTTCAACGTCCCCTTTTGAGGAGCTGTCGCCTGATTGGTGCTAGGTTTTAACACAGCTGGTTTGTGTATAACATGTGACTTATTGCCCGAGTTACTTTGTGTTGGCAAGAGGACGATTTGATTGGTTGCTGAATTGATACTCTGTTGATCCGGTAGTAGTTTCAAAACTAATGTTTGATTACCCACACTAGCTGTTAACATTGGAGTCGGGGTTTGAACTTTTGTATCGGATTTAGTATGACTAGGTTCCTTATCATTAGCAGGTACCACATGGTTATCTCCCTGAGGGGGAGGGGTAGGAGTTCTGTATTTATATGGTGCCCTGTCTTTCACCTTGGACTTAACAGCAGTGGGATGAATGAGGGAATGTGAGCCAAGAAGAGCTTTGTTGTCAAGTATTGTTCGAAGGAGTTGGGAGTCACTCGTTGGAGCTACTGGGAGAGGGGTAGAGCCTGAGATTCTATTAACTGCCACTCCGGGTCTCAATCCAGCTTTGGCAGTTGACACACGAGTTACCAGTTTGGAATTACTCGATACGTTTGTCATGGATACACATGCAGTTGATGACATTATGCGCATTTGTTCAGCAGATGACACAATATTTGTTCCCTGAATGTTCATTTTTTGATTTGCTCCTTTTAAGGAGCCTGTCAGTAAAGATACCGCACCTGGGCCAACAGAGGGCTTATTGGTTATGTTACCAGGTGACAACAAACCTGTTGAAGTTGCTGGTTTTATAACACTCATGACAGTGCGTGGAAGGTTGCCAAACGCTGATACAGATCCTGAGGGTAAACTAGAAGCCACGAGAGGTATAAATTGAGCAGTAGAGGTGCCAGGTTTGCCAAGGAGTAAACCTGATCCTGTATGATTTGCCAGTTTGCCTATAGGCTGTGGCAGAGGAGCAGTGAGGCGAAGTTGAGAGCCCGATAAATTCTTCCCACTTTGAATGAGATGTATTCCAGGTGTCTGAGCTGGTTTAGTTTTTGTCACGCTTTTTGTCAAGTGTGGCTGGGTATTCATGTGGCTTCCTGAGAGTATTAAGTTAGTGGCACCCCCAGATTGGCTGGCCACAGGCTTGGAGGTAGGAGGGGCCAAAGGTTTAACCATGGCAGCACTTTGCATAGCTTGCTGGAGAATATTCCCCCCTGGCTTCCCAGCCTGTGTTGCTGCTGCAGGGGTAGGTGTCTTCAGACCAGGCAAAATCAATTGTCCACCTGGAGTAGTCTGTAACAAATGTTGTGGTATGAGATATGTCTTTCCCTGAGTATCCATAATTTTAACATATACTGTAGATGGAGCCAAACCAGTTGCAGTTTGTGGGGCACCCATTTCAGTTTTCACCTCTGTTTTGATGGGGCTTGTTAACCCAGGAGTTGGCCTTCCAGGGGAGGGTGGGACTGTGTGACTGGGGCCTAGGAAAGTTGGTGTAGATGTATTGGTTCGTTTCCCACTGGGGGAAGGGGGAGCACTCTCAGACTTGACTCCAGGCTGGACCAAGCCCCCTGCTATCCTCACAGTGCTGTACCCAGAACTACTACCCATATGGACCCCAGTTGATCCAGATCCAAATGAATCATTACTTGCAGTCTCATAACCTGTATCCTGTCCTTCTTGCTTGATGGTAGCACCACCTATTATGATCTTAGTGGGTGTTCCTCTATCCAGTTGCTTTGTTGGAGTTGGTGTGTTGGACCTCAAGGATGCGTCAAGTCCTATTGATTCATTTAACTTAGTTGGTGTGGTTGTGTTAGATCTATTGGTGGAAATGCTACTCATGGAATCAGAGTCCATGCTCATAGAGCTATGGGCCCTATGTGACAACCTGCCCCCTGATATTGTATACACACTCGACCCTTGGGTAAAATTCACTAGTTTTCCAGAATTATCTAACCCTGGTTCACTGCCCATAGGGGACATGGCAGGAACTTCAACTGAGTCTTGGTTCACATTATCATGAGCTATCACAGTATTGCTGCATAATGGTTCAGATTTTATTGTTTTACGTTTTCTCTTTTTCGCACTAGATTGAGGTGTTTCTCTGGTAGCGTCAGTGGTGGTAGGGGTGGGTGGTGGGCTAACAGGAGTTGGCATTTCTTCATAAGTGTCTCTTTCAATCTCAACATCAACAACCTGCAAAACAAGAAAAAAATTCAATTTTTATGCATTCACTCATAGATGATGGATACTCACCAAGTGGATTGAAAATAATTTTATAAATTGTTGATTTCAAGAGATTGGGGCATCGGACAGGAAGCATCCAGAGATGGTACGGTTCTAGGAGTACCTTAACCCTTAGCGTGCTGCCGGTGGACTCGTCCGCCGAGACTAAAATGTCTCTCACAACTGCCGGCGGACCCGTACGCCCGATTTCAAACTTTTAAAAACTTTACTTTTTCGCGCCATTCGTATTGTCCAATTAGATTGCCCGATTTATTCAGTGCCTAACATGACCTCCTGTTGACCTAGAAATGGCGATATTTCGATAAATAATTCTCAATTCAACAATTTAAACAGTGTTTTAGTCGTTTTTAGTGAACGAATCGTACAAAATGGTGGACAAATACGATCACAACGAAAATGTGGAGAAAATGGATTACGATTTCGAGCTCTTTAGGCTCTTGGAAGCCGATAACGGTTATCGAAAATAGAAACTAGAATATTTTCTGAATTGAAAAATTGAACATTCGATCGCTGCAAATTCAGATTTGGATTCTGACCAGACGAAGAGGCGGAGCGGCGGATTCCGGAGGAGTATTCATGGTATATTTATGCCCAGTCGTGTTACACACCATGTTTCAAGTGAACTTTTAATGGCAGTTCATGTTTTCAGCACCAGATGTGCTGCAGTAGCAATTAGTCTTCTTCACAGGCGCAAGACTTAATTAATCCCTATGCAGAGAGGCTATGTCTAGCCAGTAGTCAGTAATAAGATACTATGCAGTGATTATTTTAAGGCCAGTTACTATCACTATCAAAGTAATTAGCCTCTTCTCCACTGTCAAATGTGTGCACATCTTTAACTATACTAAATTGTTTTAAAACAGGCCAGAATTATTATTTTAAACATGTTAGTCTGGGATTAGTATGGTATTGCTATAAACCCTTTGATTTTATCATGAATGATGGACTTTTCCACATGCACATGTAATGATATTTACTTCATTTAGCATGCAGCATGGGCAAAATGTATTAATCTTTCTAAATAATGGCAAAGTACTGTTGTTCCTAATCTCTTGTTCTTATATCAAGTAATTATCATTGAGTTACAAAGTAGCAGCCCAGGTAACAAAAGGTTCAGAAATTAGTATTTCTCGGGGTACAAAGCACTTGTTAGATACACCTGACAGAATTCAAGCTATGAAGTATCAATTTTATTAGATGGAAAGTCTTTTGTATCTATGTTTAATTTGATGAAAATTACTTAAAACAGAATTTTAAACAGTCTTCATATGACTTTAACATTGTATGTTAAAATTTGAGAGAACATTACAGATTAAGTTTAAGAAACATCAAATTAAACACATATACAGCATATAAAACATATTTTGACTTACCAAACAGAAGTTATTCTAATAATTTCTTCACACAGCGGGGTGTTCTTTTATTTATTATTGGAGTAGCGGTTGTTATCTCAGGCTGGCAGGACAATAGGTGTTCTGAGAGAGTTGAAGCGAGTCTATTTACCTCATGCCGTATTCCACACATTCGACGATCCAGATGATTGAAGACTTTATGGACAGCTTCAACACCCTGTTCTCCCCCAAGGCCCATGCCACATTTGTAAGTTTTTATCCATGGGACAATATGGTCCTCTAACAAATGCTGTTTGGGGATAACTTTTATGTCCGGGAACTCTTTCCTATATATAGCCAGGTAATTGTCAATACTCAGCTGTATTGATTGAATTTGGGCTTCTTCGATGCGCTCACAATGTCCAATGTAATTATGCACAATGGCAAAAGCTTCATTGATTTTGATCACTTTATTTTTTAATACATGGGCTTTGTCTAGAAGTTTGTCTTCACAACTTAAGGTGCTTGATAGTGAATGGGTTTTTCTGACAACCTCATTGGCCACATCCTCAATGACATCTCTTTTTAAATAACGACTCGCATGGTTGCCCTCAAACGCTCCACCAAAATAAGCCGCACGCTTGATATGATGTCTTTTGAGTACAACGTCCATTTCGGCTCCAATTGGTCCCTTGGTCGATTTTAGTTCCAATTCACTTTTTTCTTCTTTGATTTTTTCCTTAATTTCATTTTTTAATGTTTTGGAATTTTCACATCTCAGTTTTTTTTTGAGACAATGTATTTTTTCCCACTTTTCTACATATTCACCAAAGGGTGTATCCCTCTTATTATCTGGCAATCTATTGTCCTTGGCAATAGCACGACCCAAGGCACGGTCAATTTGATTACAGCCTTTTAGAAGGATATTGTGATGCTTTAAAACAATTCCCAACAAAATATGTAAGTATGGAGGGCAAATCCGACTGATTTCTATGTCAAATAAAGGTTCGTTGATTACATTCATATAGTGTTTTGCCTTGGAAATATTACTTTCAGCTTCATCGATAAATTTATCATAATCACTTTTTAAAGTCATTTGTGATCTCTCTGTGATCCCGAGTGATTCTCTTTCTTTTCTAGGAATACTATATTGTGTATGACGAATATGACAATATAGACACGAGTAGGAACCAGATGGCCCAGATAAGCCCATTGCCTTCGTCAAGAAGTCATAGTCGCCACACATGAACAGCTTGATTTTTTTACCCCGCCATGTCATATTGTTAATCTGATCTATGTCTGGCTTAAATCTCTTAAGAACTGTATCCAAATTATCCCTTGTATCCTTTGCTCTAAACATGGCAAAAACTAAGCAATTGTTTGTGTTATTGGGTGATGCAGTGTTTATCACTTGTAGTGTCGTTTTGAAACTATTTCCTCCATGGTCTGCACCTAATTTTACCCATATTTCGTTTTTTGGAATAACTGGATGATCCAGACACAATGTTCTGAATTCTGACATCATGCTGAGGTGGTCTCCAAGGTACTTTGGCAGATTACTAATATAGGCCATTGGCAGTTTTTTATAAACCATTCCTTTCTTACTATCTGGGGCATTGGGATCTCTAGTTCTGAGAAGTTTTAGTTTGGCTTTTAGCTTTATCTTGCTCAGTAATTTCTTTTTATATTCCCTTTGTTTGTTTTGGCTTTCCATTTTTACATTAAATGAACGTAAAAACCTTGATATCTCCTTTAACTGTCCCCATGATATTTTAGCTTTTGTTTTCATGGCCATTATTTTGCGGGTATTCATGACAGAGGGTTTTAATTTACATAAAAACTCCAAACGCTCCCTGGCCCTCTTTTTTCTCCGTTGAACAAGCCATTCTTTTGACAGCTGAGAGATTGATGAATCACTGCCCTTGCCACTTATTTTTTCTCTTATTTTCTGCAGTTTTCTGGCTCGTTTTCTTTTCAATGGTGATGAGGCCTTATCACTGCCTACCCTTGGTTCTGGCACTAGGACAAATCTGAGGCACTGAAATTGTAGTTTTACTTATATCTGTTTTGGTATTCTTAATAAAATAAACAATCTTTATTTACCCCCCTCCCAATCAACTAAAGAAAATACCTTGTAAGGGGTTGATGCGGCAATTAAGCATAGATAATTACAAGTACTATCTCAATGGGGATTAAGTGAATATCACAATAAGATAATTACCTTTCCTCTTTTGTTGTTTACAATGAGCTCTTCAGGGTCATTATGGGCTTTTAATTTTCTTTTCACAAGGAATGTCAATAGCTGTTCTTCAAGTACAGATAATCTTTCATTAATAGGTTTCTTGAATAACTCCCTGATACTTTGATCACGGCCACGTCCAGGTGTCATACCCAGGTCAATACTCCTATTAGTGGGCTTATTGGGTGTTTTCTGTTTTTTAGGGGTGCTTCTGTGTTGATCAGAAATGTCATTTTCATTAAAGCTAATTTCCGATGTATCCAATGCAATTTCTGAATATTTTCTTTTGTTCGGCTTGAGACATTTATTGTCACTATAATTTATACATATTGCACACTTTTCTCTTGTGGCTTCTTTGGGATATATCCATTTTTCATTTATGTTGGTGATTTTGTCCTTCAAATTTGAATTAAATACATCCTTATACTGATAATGTTTAGCACAATTGTAACACTTCTGGCATATGTTTGCAGGATGGTACAATGGATTGTCATTATCAAATTTCAATCCGGGAATTGCTTTTTGAATTGATTCTTGTACTTTTGTAATTGACAATGGCTTGTATTTTTTTCTATATACTGTTGTCTTTTCTCCACATAGTCTACATATCTTTTCTAAAGCCTTTTGATGATAACTGCTATGATCACTTGTATCCATTTTGTGTCTGCATGCATCCTTTACCGCATGTGTACTTCAAAATATTGATTTCAGTAAGGCATATTTGAAGCAGGATTTCAAGAAATCTGGCATATCAAGCACCCCCAGACCTGTTTATTCCTACAGGGGAGGGTCTTAACTTATATTTGGTACAATTTGCATACTGCTTGACATGCAGGAAATTTACTTATAAGGGGATAATGTTAATGGCCATTAAGTTAATGAGAGATAGAGATAGATTTGATACTTCAAAGTTTGAACTTATATAACAAGATTCCCTGTCTACAGATGGGCTGCACACTTTATCTGGTTCAATTCCTGAGTATTGAGAGTATATAAATTGACAAACTAAGAGTTAAGGATCAAAGCAAAGATGTGTAATTGAGGTAGAAAGTGAAGATATCTTTCCTAGCTACAGAGAGGAAGTAAGCAGGCTGCCATTTTGATGCTGCAGTTGCTAGCAGCAACAAGCTAATTAAATATTAAGTAGGCAGTATCATGTTTCTTTCTGCATAGGGATTAAGTGATACATATGTTAAGGGGCTGGGGATGGTGTGGTTAATGTACGAAAAAATTCATGAGAACATTTTTTTCATGAGCCAGGCCACTGTATCTTCCCTTTGTGAAATTTTATCCAGATTCATTCAGTAGTTATTGAGATATTAATTATTTAGTCCAGGCATATCATTTTTTGCACTCTTTGAAAAATAAGCCAGTTGCGTGAGATATATTTGCTGAAATAAGGCAGCATGGTAAAGGTTAACAATGATGACTGATTGTGTATCTTTTATACATTTTTTTGGAAATACAGTTTGTACTTTTGAACCTGCACCAATTTGCATTTTTGAGAATTGCACTATATCAAGAAATTAGGTCTAACAGAGCTAACACTCCATGATTTCATGTGAGTGAACTTGCTAAGTGGCTCACCTGGACCATACCAGCCCATGTTTCTACACTGGCTCAGCCCAGTTTCACCTTAAAAGAACTTACCGACCATACAATGTTTTTTCCTCGATTATCTATTTAGATCAAAATGGCCAGTGCTGTATTTAAACATTAATAGTTTTGATGTATAAGATTTCTATTTAAAAAGTGTATTTACTGTTTCACTCCCCAAAGTCTGTATCCCAGTGTAGGTGTGGTCCAACTGAAAATAAATATGTCAAATTCTTAATTTAAATGGAAATGCAATTGATACTCTAAATGACTGGCATCACTCTACTCTTTTATGAGGTTAATGTGCTGCAGGATACAAGCATAAAGCTTGATAATTAAGTTTAAATTGTAAATCGTTGCAATAAAATTAAATGCTTCTTTAAAGATATCCTACCATCTGTTTTGTCCTTCAGTGTACAAAACTGTTGCTATCTATTGGTTTAATTGGTTTACTGGCAGATCTGCACAGAACTCTCAACCAATAATTGCATAGTAAACTCATTGTTTTAGCCTACCTTAAGCTGGTGGATTATATCAACTCTCTTGTTGCGCTCATCTTGGAAATGCAGCTGAACTCTAATAGGAAACTCCCCCCAACCTCTTCTTGTAAGGTGAAAAGGAGGCTCACTGAATGTACATACAAACAATTATATAGTGCTAAATACTATACACGCCAAATTGGCTGTAAACAATCATGAACTATATTCCAGACTATATACACATCATTGGCATCTCCTACTTAGTTACTATAATACAAAATTTGCTTAAATATTTCATGTTGAACTCGAATCAGGTTATTGAGAAAAATCTGATTTAATGACACCACCACCAAAAAAATCATGAGTGGTATATCGTGGTAATCATACAGGTGGCCCAAAGGGGTTACATGTTCACTTGAGCATCCTTTCCGGGAAAACATGAGAGCAACTTACGTGACTTCTACGAGGTCATTTGGTCTGTAGCTGGGATGAAGAAAGAACCAGACTTTCTTGACAAATGGTTGAATGTTGTGATCATTCTTAGGTCCGCGTACATACACCATCCACTTGTGAGTTGATTGATCCTTCTCCTCACGACGGTCAACAGGTATATACCTATTTCAACAAAAAGGTTAATTCTGACTACAAGTATGAACCATAAATCTCCATATCAGTGAACCTTGAATTATGCTCCAACAATAATTTTCTGCCTTGTAGTTGCTATCATTTCATTTAACATACAAATTTCACAAAAGGTCGAAACAAAGTGACATTTGATAATAGTAAGATCTCATCACCACTTGTAAAAGGGTACAGTGGCTAGCAGATGAGAATTCATGGTAACAGAAAAAAGGAACATACATGCTGCCTTACATATATGAACCTACTTAGTACTTACTTTGATACATTCCCCACAATGATTCTTTTCTTCATTTTGAAGCGTGACCCTCTATACCCAGGACTTGTGCTGCTAGGGTTAAGAGTCTTGTTTTTCTGTTTAACAGGCGTGGACTGCAACAATGAGTATGTGTATCACAGATATATAATTATTATGCACCTCATTAAAATACCCAAATCTGATTGGTTCTTAGTTGCTTGTAATTTGGCAATACTCTGCTCTTTTCTGAAAACTGCCGGATATTTTTTCAATATCCGACCCTTTCGAGAAAAGGGTCGGATATTTTTTTCAATGTTTTTGCAACATTCCCACTTCAGAGTTTTATTTCTTAATAACTGGAGTACTACTTAAAGCTTACATCTGAAACTGACGGAAAATAGAAGAAAAAAATGTACTTAATCAATCACAACTAGATAACGGCAACTCCGCGGAGTAGCAAATCCCAACGAACAAAATATCAATTACCGAATTCCAATCAATTATACGCATAACTATGGTTAAAATTGAAATATTTAGATTTTAGAATTGCAAATTCCTGCAAAGCAGCCATTTTGAATTTTCTAAGGTACAAATCTGAAAAATAATACCATAATTGTGATCTACTCCAAAATTCCTTCAATTTGAGTATAATATAGCCATACTTTGAAGGGATCGAAAAATTATTGCGAAATCGTACATTAGACGGCCATTTTGAATTTTACGACGCTCGAATTAGAAAAAAGATACAATATTTGCAATCTACTCTTAATTGCCTTTCATTTGAGTATAATAAAGCTATACTTCAGAAAGATCTAAAAATTAGCGATAATTTATGTTTTCCTGACCCCCCATACACGGCCCCTGGGGGTCAGGATGAAAAACACGGAATATATGTGAAATAGATAGATGTTGCGAATATACTACCGAAATTTCAAACAATAATATTAATTACTTTGGTTTAGAATGAAAAATTTATGATTTTTGCGAAAAGGTCCCGTCATTTTTAAAAGCGGCGGCCATCTTGAAAAATTTTTTTTTGCGTAAAACTGTTCATCGATATACATCTTTCCACCAAATATGAAGAAAATCCGTTGACTCATATTTGAGTTATCTTCCGGACAGACGGACGGACTGACTGACGGACTGACGGACGGACAGACGGACGGACAGAGGGCTTCACTATATCCCTACTGAACTTCGTTCGTTGGGATAATTACCCTTATCATTCAAAAGTTACATATAATTCTGCAAGAACGTCTCGAATAAATAAAAATTAAATTCCCGGGGCAAATATTTTCGTCCAGTGTAGCGAATAAACTGGCCGGAAGTCGTCTGAGTTTGAAAGAAAAAATAAATAAATGTCAAAATAATGTCAACTAAACAACAGTTTAAGCCTGTAAATGAGGTGAGTAAGTAAGTACTCCACTTAACTTTGATTGGGAGGTGCATAATAAAACAAATACTGGATGATCAGGAGCTGGATATGGCCAGAATACCTATCCTCGAAAAAATATTGGGCTCGGCTGCCGCCTCGCCCAATATTTTTTCTCGAATAGGTATTCTGCCATATCCAGCTCCTGATCATCCAGTATTTGTTTAATATTAATTTATGTGTCTGACTGATATAAGAATGGACTCAAGAAAGTAAAGATAAGAATCAAAATTAATTTTGTCATAATTTAAAATGCTCACATGAATTAGAATTGAAAACCAATATTTTTCAATAATAAATCATAAATAACCTACTCAACTCTAATGAATTACTTTGTTGTTTGTCTACAACAGTTGACATGAGGACAACATCCCTTTATATGAAAAGTGGTGAAATGATATGTAATGAGTGCAGTGTGGTTTCCAAATCGAAATTTAAAAGGGTAAGATATTGACAGATTCCGATAAGCACACATACAAAAAAAATTAGAAAACAAATATTGCCAATAATCTTTTTAGTTGTTATCACAAGGTTCACATTCTTTAAAGCTAGAATCAGCAATTGATATCTTGCTGTGTAAATAATCAAAACCAATGCATCAAATGTCATGTTTTCTCGAGGCCATATTCAACGTAAAAGTCCCATGAGTGCTCATTGGAACTTTGGGCTCATTAGAAAGAATATGGTACACTCCCCTCCATAAGTTTGGCAACCTTTTTCCCCAATTGAACTACGTGTTAAAGCCTCTTTACGTTTGAATTTTTATTTACTTAACTGGAGATAAAATAACTTATAATATTGATGGACATGTACTTTGACTTTATGTCCAATACCTCCAAATTTTCTCAATTTTTTCCTCAATTACAATAGGACGAAAATTGATGATAAATTTGATGAATTTTTGAAAATCGTCATTCCCATGTAATCCAATGGGAAATGGAGGGTTCGGGGCAAATCAGAAATCAGGATATCTTTTCAGTAAAAGATTCAGCAAAAAATATTTTTATATAGAAAATTGAATTGTCTAGCTTTTTTGAACACTAAGTGTTTAGTTTATTTGATGAATATTAAAGTTACCACGCTTTAAAGTCATTTTTGAAAATAATTTTTCGCCTCCTGTGTTATTTCAATGGGAGAGTTTTTTTGAAAAACAAATTTTGACTTTAAAGCCCTATAACTTTGTTGAACCTGAAGAAACATATCAATTTTTGGTTAAATAAAGTTAGCAAATTCAATTGCCTGCCTTACTCATATTTTTTGCAAGGACTCGGATGGATGGATATTCTGTCATATGACTTGCGGCAAACCTACCATTTCCCATTGGTTAACATGGGAATGTCGATTTTCAAAAATTCATCAAATTTATCATCAATTTTCGACCTATTGTAATTGAGGAAAAAATTGAGAAAATTTGGAGGTATTGGAAATGAAGTCAAATTACGTTTCCATCAATAGTATAAGTATTTCTATCGCAGGTTAAGTAAATAAAAATTCCAAGGTAAAGAGGCTTTTACACGTAGTTCAATGGGGGAAAAAGGTTGCCAAACTTATGGAGGGGAGTGTATGTCATAATTCATATAACAGAGTATATGTATAAACATTACATGATCTTTATAATTACCAAAAGTTCATTTGCTTTCTCATCAATGGCATTATCTTTGCTATCAATGCTATCAATAGGTTTTGAGCCTGTTCCATTTTCTGTCTTAATGATTGGAGTTGTTGAATTGTTCAGTGTGTTCCCTGAGTAGTTTTTGGTCGTTTTACCAAGATGTTTCTTCACTGTTGGATGAATAGAAGGCACTTGTTGGCTGGCTGTTTTACCCTATAAACATAAGATACATGTATATACCAAAAGGCAACAGTTACTATGGGATATACCACAATGCAATAGTGACTCAGGACAGATACAAGGAGATTTGTGCCATAATGAATAAGCCATAATGTATAGAGAAGTCTAGACATGAATTACAATATGCAAATGGAGAGACATATTGTACCTGGTTAGGTTGTAGACCTGCCCCACTATAATAATTTGCGACTATACACCCTCTTAGCCTGTCCAACATCTGTCTGGCTTGGTGTAATCTCTAAAACAAAATATGGTACTGTTAACAACATAGTTTCATTTTTTTATTGCACACACATACACCAATATCCTTATATTCACAATACAGTTCCCTTGAACACATTGGGTGAAAATTGTTTGCATTTTATATGAACAACTGGTAATGTCTACAAGTTTGGGGGAAATTGCCATGGGCTCGATACCATGATGTCTGCCAGTTTAAAGTTGAATTTCTGCGATAGTTTGTCGGAGAATATCTTGAGAAATTCATTATTTATATCATAACTCTCGTAACTTACAGGAGCAATGTCCTGTTTAAGAACCCATATTCTTACTATTGAAAATGGATTCTAGCAATACGATCCCACATGAATGTACTTGTTGAGACTCGATCAACTTGAGTTCTTCTGAGAAAATGAGGATTTCAGCAAGGGTGCATTAACTTAACCATATTGATTGTTGACATTAGTAATACACATTAACATTACTGATGAACATTGAATCAAAAATATGATTTTTATGTTCCATACCTTATCCATGTTGTTTATTTCAGTCTCTTTATTGAGAGTCTCTTGATTAAATTGTTCATCAATTATCCTCCGTATGCGACTCTCTGTTACAGAACGGCCTGAAGAAATAAGTATGATTGCATTTTAATTTTATAATACTTTTCAGTATAATCCAGGACATATAGAATGTCCAGTCAATTGCTGTTATGAATATGTGTTAAAGCATGTATGCAAGTTTAAGTGTAATACTACTAATATTAAATAAGTATAAATACCATCTGTTTCTATGATTCTTTGCCGCTTGTTCTCCCTGACAGTGACATCACATGGGTCCTGGTAGTCAGGATCAATGTCAACAGATCTCTTGGCTGCCATCTTATGGCATATGGAAGGCCTCTGGAAAATACAGGAAATATGTGACAGTACAAAACCTGTGATTGCAACTAGAGCAGCCACTACAAGAGGAAGAAGTGATTCCTCTTAAAATATACCGCATCTATACATGTATGGCACAATACGCAGGCAGATACTGGCAATGCTGAAGGGAAGGATTTGACATTGACGTTCGCAGACATGTCAGGTCATTCTGAAAATATTGCTCCACCATTCTAAAACAGATTCCAGTTCAATCAGAGATCTAACTGACATGAAGTCTAGCTAATGAACTGCTTGAAAAGTACCAAAGAGAATTGGAAGCTGTTATTCAAACTCGATACTTCGTTGCCTGGCGTTGACTAATCTACAGGGTGTCCACAAAAAAGTATAACCAACTTCCAATCCAAACTACTAGAATCCTAAGCAGTTTTTTTTAAATATAAAAGTAGTAGTAAAAAGCCTGATTTATTCTCCATCAAATGGTACCAATATCATTTTGTAACTGTCATGTATGACTGAGCAATCTTGATCACAATGAGAGGTGGTAAAATTAGCACTATGCCAAGTTACCTTCCTGTGTGGCAATTGATGTGTAATTGGCTTAAGTATTCTTTTTTCTGTTACATTAAGTTAGATGACAGGCTTTCCATATTGAACTGGACTTGGAACTGAGTAACTCTCGAAAAAAGGTTTGGCAAAACGCTGAACTTATTCTAAAATAGGCCTGCAAAATGGTTCAACTGACACCTGAGCAGAAAGAACCAACAAAAAGTTCTAATAGGGCAAGTCCCATGTACTGTTTATGCAACCCCTATTCTTTCTATTGAAATAGATTCTAGCAATACTGTCCCACATGAATCTACTTGCTTAGACTCAATAAACTCGAGTTCTTCTGGGAAAATGAGGATTTCAGCAAGGGTTGTTGACTTTATAGCATGGGAATATAATTGACTTCAAAGCTGTGTATCATCAGGTAAAAGGTTCATTGCTGTTCAAGAGGCTCTTCGATTCCAACTACAGTGGGGAACATAAAGAATTACAAAAGCTATGAAAATTACATGCTGTCGCACATGTAATAAATTCTTACCTCAGTGTATTCAGTGCTCTATTTTCTCCGTCCTAGTAAGTCCAAATATTGTGGAATTTGTGTCCATATTGACAAATAGAAACTTAAAAATTTGAAGTGGATATTCACATGTTAATGCCTACTCTTCAAATGTTGAGGTAATTTTGGAGCCTGATTACGCCGAAAAGAGGATTGGCTCCCAGAATGCAACATGACACGTGCCAGCTTTCAAAATGGCAGAACGGCATTTTGTCACTCGTAAATAAGGTTAACTGATGTTGCATTTCTGGGAGTCAATCCTCCTTGGATCACAAACATGGCGATTTATAATGTCTCCCAATGTATAAAATGGTCAAAACGTTGTAAAAATTAGCTCCTATAGAATAGATGTATTCCCTATTGTTCAGACATGTTATACAATTAATATAATTAATACTTATGTCTTAATTTGTTTTTGACAATGAGAGAATGAACTCCGGATCGAAACGACGAAAGTGTAAGAAAAAAATTGAAAAAAAGTAAAAAATCGATCGTTCGACGAGTTATACCATCTAAATGGCCAGATCGCATCTCATATAAAGGTAAGTATCAGAGGATATTAAATCATTAATACCAGGGGAACGAAATATGTATATAAATTGGACTATACAACTAGAAAACCGTGAAAAAGACTCAAAATATTTACCTAAACAAATGTGCCCATGGGCGCTGCCATTTTAAAATGGTGCCTCGTTTTGGAATGGCGCGTTATGCTAATGAGAGGCACGCCAACTAAAGAAAGACCTTGGTCGTTCAGAACCGTGTGAAAAGGTTAGGAGGTCCTATTAATGTATGGTCCTACTCTCCATTGATTTATATGGTGACCTCTTTCCCTTATTATCTTATACACAATCAGGGCCAGTAAGGGCCTTTAAAAAGCGGGACCATAATCCCTGGGGCGGGCCCTGGGGACCATAATTTCTCATCACACCGGGTCCACCAGAACATCAATGGTTCCTCCATAAATCCCGATAATCATAACATAAAAAGTAATATTACAAGATAATCGTGGAAACACTATAATGCCATTTCATATAAGACATTGCCCGACCGCCGTTCAAGTTTATTGCAATGATCATGATGGCGCCCGGGGGTTCGGCAGTAGCCCTACTTACACTACACGCGACATTTCAAGACTTCTTAGCTAAAACGTTTTAGAAAAAGCATGTTGAGTTTACACCACCATTTTCAAGACGTCTTACGAAATATGAATAAGTTTACACATGTTTTTCTAAAACGTCTTAGACTGAGATATGTAGGCCTAGGCATACATGTAAAATGAAAAAAGCAGTTCAACACTGGTTGAAGGATGGTTCAGTCAACATAGCTATCCCTTTCCCGTACTATAAAGAATGCATCGGTTCAAAAATGTCCTTAAGAGAGCATTGTTACAAGCATGAAAGTTTTCATGCTTTTAGGAAGATTTTGTCCATATATTAGTATTATGATAGAACGCGAGGCGAATTAGTTCTTCTCGATATTTTTGGATGATATTGGTAATAAAGGGATGAGACAAGAGAAAGAACCATGCTACACATGAAATCAGGAACTATAAGACGTCTTGGCTATGACTAGGGTCCTAAAACGTTTTAGCTAAGCGCTCTCGAGAGCTCTTGAGAAAATCTGGATTTACATTACATTTGTAAAACGTTTTAACGCTAAAACGTTTTGGCCAAGACGTCTTAGGGCGCTAGTGTAAATCCAACACCTAGCCCTATTTACATTACACACGGCATTCCAAGACGTCTTGGCTAAAACGTTTTAGAAAAATTATGTTGAGTTTACACCACCATTTTCAAGACGTCTTACGAAATATGATTGAGTTTACAACTGTTTTTCTAAAACGTCTTAGAGATATGTAGGTATACATGTAAAATGAAAAAAGCAGTTCTGTACTGGTTGAATGACGGTTCAGTCAATATAGCTATTCCTTTCCCGCTTCTATACTTTGTGCTAAAGAATGCATCGGTCTTACAAAAATATGTCCTAAAGACAGCATTGTTAAAAGCATGAAAGAGAGAATGAAGATATGGTGCATATATTAGGGTTATGATAGATAGCCAGGCAAACAAGATCTTCTCGATATTTTGGGATGCTATTGGGAACAAGGGATAAGAGAAAAGAAATGACCAGACACACGTAAACAGAAAGTTTCAAATTTTTCGTTCAGCGCAACGCAAAAAACCGGGCAAGAGCTCTTAGCTAAAACCGATGGATTTACACTCGCTTGTAAAACGTTTAAACAGGCTATGACTAGGGTCCTAAAACGTTTTAGCTAAGCGCTCTTACCCGAGAGCTCTTGAGAAAATCTGGATTTACATTACCACGCATAACCATCGACATCTAAAGTGTACTACGGTATATTTTAAACATCGTACATCTAAAGTGTACTACGGTATATTTTTTTACTGTACCTTGTCGTATTCCTTACCAATGTATTCCTTACAAGCTCAAATATATTATCTCCCAAAAGATCTGTGCTAACATGTTTATTTTCTCCCATATACAGATAATAAAATGGCAACCATATTTATAAACAAATGAATGCATTATTGTAAAAATATTTAGTTTTCCTCAAATAAAGTTTATACAGTGACTCATATAGTAATAAATAACGAGAACCTGTTTTGATAATTAGTGGCCATCTTGGAAATTTTCGAACAAAGCACTCCGTAGAGCCAAGGGCAAGATGTGACAGTTGTGGTGGACTTTTCAAAATATGAGAGGAGTAGCCATACACAAGGGAAATATGAAGTGTCACGAGAAGCAGAAACAGTGTAGGAAGGAGTCCCCTGTCCGTAAAATACAGGATTTGAACAGTGTTCAAGACCTCCAAGTTACTGTTGAACCTAACCCAACTTAAATTGGTAGAGAAGAGAACGATGGGCCACTTCTCGAAAGGAAGCCAAGACTGCGCTTGCCTGCAACAACAGACAGTGTGGAAAGAACTTGATGATGAAATTGACAATATTCTAGAGAACTCCTTGAAAGGGACAGCTTGTGAGAAGATGGAATCAATGACAAGACAAGTGTACACCATGTGTGCAGAAAGATTCCAAGAGAAGGGAACAAACAGCAAGAATGAGGGTAAAACTGGACCAAGTAGGAGACGGAGGAGAAAAGCTGCACTAAAAAGAGATATGAGAAGGCTCACATGGAGATGGAAGCATGTCCCTGACTTGGAAAAACTGGCACTGAAAGATTTAAGAGACAGTCTCAGGAAGCAGCTTTCAGTTCTCTCAGGGCAAGATCAGTTTCTTAGTAAGAGCAATATCTGATCTTTTACCATGTCCTGCCAATTTCACGATCTGGGGACTTGGGGAATGGAGACGCGTCATGTATTCACTGTGGAGCTCAGAGAAGTAACATCCAACATATCCCGAGTACACATGGAGACACGACAAAGTTCTCCAAAAGATTTCTCACTGGGTGGCTCAAGCAAAAATTATGAACAAAACAAATCTAACTGCAACATCACGCCAAAAGCAGTTGTAACCCTTAGAAAGACATTTTGTGGGTGCTAAAACAAATCCTAAAGGAAAGGTTTTGCCTAGCGGTAGCAGGTACACCTTTCGAGGAAGATTTGGCATCTTACAACAACAAGCACAGGACTGGGAGCTGAGAGGAGATCTACACCAAAGACTCACATTTCCCAACTGTATCACTACAACAAACCAAAGACCAGATATGCTTTTATTCTCAGAGGATAAAAGAAGTGCTGTGATGATAGAACTTACCGTACCTTGGGAAGATCGTATTGAAGAAGCACCAACTCAAAAGCGCTAATTGAGAAGATAGAGACCAAAGGTTGGAAAGTTCACTACTATCCTGTTGAAGTAGGTTGTAGAGGATTCCAATCGACATCTCTAAACCGAATGTTCAAGAATGTAGGACTACCGCCCCAATGGCTTAAGAGAGCAAATAAAGCAGTTGGATATGCAGCAGAGGAAGCCTCTCGCTGGCTCTGGTTGAGGAGAAATGACAAATGGGCACAGGGGAGACAACATTAATCAATGACTTATTTGACAATTGCAAGTACATTCACCGAGAGTTTGTTCACCATCCCTTTTACCATCAAGGGCAGAGCAGTGCCTACAACAGGTAGCGCTTAAAGGTCGACCGCTCTGGCTATAGTGGTGTTCATATTATCGGAGAATGTAAAGGTTGGTACCAGCTGCATGACAAACGGACCGAGTGAGTTAAAAAAAAACAGGCAGGCGCGTCGAAGCATAGCACTCTCTTGTGTTTAATTAAAGAAGAAAGTATCAGCATATAAAATTTAAACCAAATTCATCCGCTGGTATTTGTGTTATCAAAGATTTATTTTTCCAAAAATGGGGGCTATTTTGAAATTCAGCTGCCATCTTGAAAACTTCTTCTTAAAGGAATAATCCTTGCCAGATCCTTTCTCTCTTGATATGGTAGCTATAATCATATATATAGTTTCCATATTTAGCAAAACATGGGAAAATGTTTTAATATGGTCAATATTGATCATTTAAAAATCTAGTGCTTATTTCCAGTGAGCTGCCATCTTTTAAGATTTCTTGCAGGAAGTGATGTCATCAACTCTCAACTTCTATAACCTTGCCCATAACAGTATAGGAAAGTAGCACAAAATCACTTCTAGACAAGTGATCATTACTTTCTTTGCAAAAATATTTTCAGGGCTTGTCAACTTAGAATAAAAGAAGAGATTTTCAGAAGGATTAAATAAGATACAAAGTTGAAAAAGAATATTTAGCTGGTTTTGTAATTCTTAATAGCTCCTCACCTAATGCTATATGCAAAGGTGAGAGTCGATGACATCACTTCCTGTGTGAAATTCTAAAAGATGGCAGCTTACTGGAATTGAGCATCACATTTCTAAGTGATCAAATTTGACCATATCAAAACATTTTTGCGTGTTTTGCTAAACATGGCAAGCATATATATGGTTATAGCTACCATATGAGGAGAGAGATGGTTTGGCAAGGAATATTCCTTTAAACAGAGCTCTTTTGTCCCTAGGTAGTATTAGTAGCTTATATGTTTTGAACCAAATCAGTCAACTGTTATTTGAGTTATCAAAGATTAAGTTAAAATGGCAGCCATTTTGAAATTTAACCGCCATCTTAAAAAATCCTTCGTGAGCAGAGCTTGTTTGTCTCCAGGCATCGACATATGAATTATCAACGAATATATTCTTTTATGAAAAATGGCAGCCATTTTGAAATCGGCCACCATCTTGAAAATTATTTTGTCAACAGAACAATCGTGTCCCTAGGCATCAGCATATAAAAGAACCAAATCCGTTCACTGGTGTTTGAGTTATCAAAGATTACGGATTTTTTTCAAGAACAGAGCTACTATGTCGCTAGGCATCGGCATATAAAATTTGAGCCAAATCCATTCACTGGTATTTAAGTTATCAAAGATAACATTTTTGCAAAAAATGGCAGCCATTTTAAAATCCAGCCGCCATCTTGAAAATTCTTTCTTGAACAGAGCTACTATATCCTTCGGCATCAGCATATACAATTTGACTGAAATCCGTTTACAAGTATTATTTAAGGTAACGGTAAAGTTAATCAAAAGTACAAAAAATGGCAGCCTTATTTTTTGACTAAGTCACAAGATTTTGTATCTGTTTTCCTTATACGTGAATGCATTTCCTGACTTAAGAGACATGTCAAAGAAAACTTCACATTTAAACGCATTTTTACAACTATGAATTGGAGGTGCATGGGTCCCCAAAGCTAGCATAAAGACCGTGAAATGAGGCTAATTTTTGAAAGTTTCAAGGAGTAGCCTTGCTAAAGTCACACATTTGCAAGAATCCAAAATTTCCACAAACCATATTACCTTACCAGGGAACATTGAGGGAGCATGAAAATCTGCACTTCTTGCATTGTTAGAGTATGATAAAGCTCAAACCATAGTTTCTTATAAATATGTCATGTCCCCCATTTTGTTTGGCGGAACTACTTCTAGACTTCCTGATTAATCCTCATACAAGTTTTTGTGACTTCACCAAGTGGCATGGATTATCACTAATATATTTTATCTATAACAGTATACTAATCATGATAGATACTTAATTGATGTGACATGAGTGAGGATTACTTTGGACTAGAAAATAGTCCCAGGAAACAAAATGGTGGACATGAGATATTTAGAATTTACAATGGTTTGAGCTTTATTATACAAGAAGTACATGTTATCATGATCCTTTGATGTTCCTTGGTAAGGTAAGATGATTTGTGGAAAAACTTACAAATGTGTCTCCATTGCAATCCTACTCCTTGAAATTTTAAAAAGTTATCCTCACTTCACTGTCTCCATGCTAGCTTTAGGGACCCATGCACCTCCGATTCATAGTTATAAAAAATGCGTCTAAATGTGAAGTTTTCTTTGACAAGTCTCTTTAGTCAGGAAATGCATCACATATAAGGAAAACAGAATACAAAATCTTGTGACTTAGTCAAATAAATATGACTGCCATTTTTTGTACTTTTGATTAACTTTACCGTTACCTTAAGTTATTTTTAATTGCGGCGATTTTGAAAATCAGCGGCCATCTTGAAAATTTCTTCTCGATCAAAGTTTCCTAGTCCCTTGGTATCAGCATATAAAATTTGATCCAAATCCATTTACTAGTATTTGAGTTATCAAAGATAACAGTTTTACGAAAAATGGCGGCCATTTTGAATTGAGTTGCCATATTGAAAATTCCTTCTCAAGCAGAGGTTTTGCCCCATAAGGCATGAACCTAAAAAATTTGAATCAAATTCGTCAACCGGACTTTTTGCCCGGAAACACAGACAAACGAACGAACGAACGAACGGACGGACGGACGGACGGACGGCTTCTCTATATCCCCCTCGAACTTCGCTCGGTGGGATAATCATATCATTCATGGAATTTCATCTAAATAGGGAGGTTAAGATTAGCGTAAAATTGTACGTATTTGTACGTTAGATCCCTATCCGTATGTTTATAAACAGTTGCAAACATACGGATAGGGATAGGTATACGTACATTTTTACGCTAATCTTAACCTCCCTAATACCGGGCTCAATACGCACTTTGCACCCATTTCTGAATACAAATATAAATAAGGCACCGGTAACCGAAAAATAAAGTTAAGTCGGTCCTTAACATTTCTTCGGGTTGTTTTGTAAAAACTCCTAACCGAAAACACAAACTGCACAATTGAAACTGAAAATACACCACGTCAGTTCAGTTCTTGGAAAAAATGTTTATCACGTTTATAAGTATGTACATAGTACAATATAATAGAGGGATATGGGCTTAATTCGTTGATTTATAATGTCACATTTTGTTTTAAAACGAAGCCCTTAAATAGTTAGGTTTAAAAGAACGAAAATGGATTCAACGTTTTCTCTGAGAGAATTTATTGACATTAACAAGGATGTGTTGCCAGAACGTGTCAAGGTTACTGGGGGTGTACAGTGTGGTGAGGACGAGGATTTACCAACAGGTACTGTCCTGGATCTACATTCAGTACACGTAAAACAGATCAACCTTGTATATAAGGAGAAGGGAAGAAAGATTGAAAATAGAATAGCCATACACGAGTCTAATCCAACAAAATTCCAAATTCTGGATTACCACCCAGTAGGACATGTGTACACTACAGTAAAGGATTTGATTGAAGTTTGCCCGTTTGTTGTAAAATGTAACAAGACGTGGCGAAGCGATGACGGAGCTTTTCTATTAGAGAAAGATGAGATCTTGAAATTAATCAGACTTGTAGTGGGCAAAAATTGGCAGAGGTTATTAGAATGTAAACTTGTTAGACAAATGAAGCTTGTTCAGCTTCCAATGGACTGTGAGGGACATTTCACTGCAAAGAAACTAAACAACTTTTACACAGTGTCAGATTTGGTACATCAATTTCCAAAAGAACGTAAACTCAAGCTGGTGAAAGGCGATGTAATAGATGAACGAAATCAAATCCAAGGTCTCCCTCTGGATGGATTAGTCACGATGCTTACACCCGACCTGGAGGTAGAATACTCCATGAAGGAATATCCTGGTGATAGGCACAGGTTGGACGTCAATAAACAATTGATAAACAAATAAACACAAATCCAGAAATTACCGGTCACTTTCTTTATCAGGAGAGCTGTCAACACATCTGATAAGAAGTGTTCTAAGCAGCTCTAGTGAAACTTGATGCTATGTTTGGTCTAATACAAGATGCAGCCTACTTGTAAATAAAATACAGTTATCCTTGTACGTAATATATGGTTCAACAAAAAACAACAACTAAATATGAGAAACTTATGTGGTATATGCCATGTTTATGTGTCAGATAATATAATCTTGAAATTATCCATCAATTTCTAAAGAAATTGGGGAAATTAAGGAAACCAGAAAACACATTTGATGAAAGGGCGGTGTTTATAGCCTGTATGAAATGCCCCTGCATTAACGCTCACATATATGAGTTTTAAACATTAATGTAGTAGACTAAAGTGTTGATACGAAATCTCAGTAATAGTACCAGTTAGGAGATAAGGTGATGTCCGATTTAACATTACAATTGCTGGATATAAACTGCTTCCAATCAGGGCTAAAGTTCACGATTGGGATGAGATAACAAGTATCACTGAACATCTCAATATTCGTCCAGGTGTGCAAATCGATATTCACGGATACCAGGACGAAAGGATGAAATTCCTCCTCTGGTGCGATGGCGACTATTTCATTATTCCCTCTTCTTATCAAGGGCGATTCAGGGCTTGTCCCAAACAAATCAACAGCGTCGAAGATCTGTTGAAGCACAATGGAGATCGTGTGTTGGTAGTGAAAGAGGCCAAGTATATGTCATATGATTCCGTTAACGTTGGGGATGTCTTAGACCTGACACGAAGGAGATTATCTCATCTAGAAAGAGTCGAACAAGGAAAACATCATCGGGATGCGGAGGTGGAAGTACTGCTGTGTACGAAAGAATCCCCCGGCGCTATGTACTCAATACCAGTCAGTCTCCCAACATTCATGGAAGGTGTATTTGAACCAATCCCCAAAGACACAACCCTATACAGCATAACCAATGCCCATGCGGTTTACAAAAGAGGCAGTCAATTTGAACTTGTCAGACCGGATCCACGATTCGAGGATATATTGCCACAAAATACCAGGATAACACTGGACTTTTGTATCAGAGAACCCGAAATTATGATATCGTTAGCAGACGACAAAATGGCTATGCATCTTCCAACAAGGACAGATATACAAGTTTCATTCATGACACAGATTCAGCACAAAAATGTGAAACTGGCTGAGTTGGACAGTGCACCAGAGAAGTTATCAGCTGAACGATACAACGAACTTGCAGCCCAAGACCACGATTACGAAACGGTTGACTACGAAATTGTGAATGCATTTCCTCGAATGGTAGTTGATGGCGATAATCAGATTTACACAGACGGTGGTAGGTGTTGTTAATTGGTTTATTCAGCTTGTTCATCACAGGCTGGTATCGAAAATTTGTCCGCTGTGACGGAGCGTGCTATTTTGCATAGAATCACTAGGAAATCCACACAATTTATTTTTTTACTCATATGTTTTGCTATATCAAAGAAAATTACTGACTCCATGCAATGAATATATCATTTGCGGGTAGCTTTAAATTCTGTCTGAAATCCAACAACGCTATGAGTAAAAGCTATTGAAAACGGCGCCGGAGTATCATACTCCAAAATGTACCATTTCTTTTATTTCTTTTTAATGGTACAATATAGCGACACGATAATATTTACATATGTTTTCAGCATAACTCCGAAGGTATTAATGAGATCTTTATGTATTGGGTATTTTTAATTTTTTTGATAAAAAATAATAATTAATTTTTTTGTCCGCTGTGACGGAGCAGTTTCAAATCTGAAATGCGTTAAGAATTTAGATTCATAATATATTTCTTTACAACTAAACTTTAGAGGAGCGAGCGTGTCAAATCTCTTTCTTAAAGTATTCTGAAAAATGAAACGTAATAAAAGTACACAATTCAAATTCTGAAATGTATATAAGTAAAATGATTTATGAAGCTAAATACATTTAATGGTATGGACTGTGGATTGTTCTACCCTCTTTAGTCGTTCCAAAAGGTAAGTTGAATGTATCTTGAAATACGAAAATGCAAAATTTGATTTTAAGATCGTTCTTTATTTGACTAAGAGTTATGGCTATCTGATGCAACTACAGTAAAATATGTGTACAGTGAATACATATGGAGCCCAAAAATGTGTTCCCACTAGATGTTCACTCCATAGAGGCAATTTCAAACAGAAGTCAGAGGAATATTTGATAAGAAGAGGTATTCACTAGAGACAGATATTCATTGATACAGGTTTTACAGTGCAGCATGTTCACAAAGACTTTTTTTATAATTTTATTCTAAGAAAAACGATGAATTTCATGAATTTCAAATAATTACAAATTAAATCTGTATTGGGATCATCTTATATACAGTAATATAATATTATGTGGTAAAAGGTTATACATCTGTCGGAATGCATGATGTCTGTGCGCTATTTCGAATAAGTAAATTCATATTAGCCCTATTTACACTACACGTGACATTTCAAAACGTCTAGACGAAAACGTATTAGAAATATTATGTTGAGTTTACATCATGTTGATTCATGTTGATTTCAGTACAAACCTCCAAAAATGCTAAGAGTGGTCGTTTTTAATCTCAGATTTACATTACCCCATATCTCCAAGATGCTGCTTGTCATTATTTAGGAAAGTGATTTGTGACGTTCTCTCTTCTAAAGCCCGGTATACACCAATGGGGCAAGTTGGGACCTCCATAGACTTAACATTGCGTGGGACCTCGTGGGACCTTTTGGGATTTTGCCCCATGAAGTCCTTGGGACTCCATGGGACTCCGTGGGATTTTGCCCCATCTTGCCCCATCGAGTCCCACGAGGTCCCATGAGGTCCCATGAAGTCCCACGTGGGACTCGATGGGGCAAGATGGGGCAAAATCCCACGAAGTCCCATGGAGTCCCATCGAGAATGAACATGTTCATTCTTTCCATGGGGCATCGTGGGATTTTCGATCATATGACGTGTTGTGCGAAGCCTGACATACACCAATGGGGCACAGTGGGATTTGATTGGACTCCATGGGACTTGATGGGACTCCATGGGGCACGATGGGACAAAGTCATCAAGGTCCCATGGGACCTCGTGGGATTCGATGGGGCAAATTGGGATTCGATGGGGCAAGATTGGACTCGATGGGGCAAGTGGGATTTTGCCCCATTGGTTATACCGGGCTTAAGGGTACTTTTAAAAGATATAATTTGAATCTTAAATTCTTAACATAGTTCACAGTTAAAACTGCTCCGTCACAGCTGACAAAAAATGTAAACATTATTTTTTATAAAAAATATTAAAAATACCCAATACATCAAGATATCATAAATACCTTCAGAGTTATGCTGAAAACATATGTAAATATTATCGTGTCACTATATTGTACCATTAAAAAGAAATAAAACAAATGGTACATTTTGGAGTATGATACCCCGGCGCCGTTTTCAATAGCTTTTACTCTTAGCGTTGTTGGACTTCAAACAACAGTTAAAATTACCCGCAAATGATATACCCATTGCATGGAGTAAGAAATTTTCTTTGGTATAGCGAAACATATGAGTAAAAAGATAAATTGTGTGGGTTTCTTAGTGTTTCTATGCAAAATAGCACGCTCCGTCACAGCGGACAAATTTTTCGATACCAGCCTGTGTTCATGGAGAAAACAGCCCAAAAAGTGCTCACTCAAAAATGAAATATACCTTGAACCAACACTATGACTGTATGTCAGGAGACCTATGTGGTCCTCATGAAATTTCAAGTCAAAATTCAAGTTAAATAAATTCTAAACTTTGTGACAAAGAATTTCTATAGCTATTGCCCCGAACCGGTCCGTCTTCTCGCTGCAAGCTGTTGCCCCGAACCGATCCGTCTTCTCGCTGCAAGCAGGAGGAAATTCTTTGTCACAAAGTTTGGCATTTTTTATAAAATCAAACGCGCGTCATTGAAACTCACAAGATGTAAATAGCATGTCATTTACATCATACCTTGATGGGGAAAAATAGATCTTATATGTTAGAAGTACTAAATAAAAGTTATCGTGAAAATGAGACAGTCATTCTCGAGAGAAAAGAGCATAAATGCGCATTTAGAGAGTTTTGGTCCGTTTAAAAATCTGTAAAAAATTGGGGTACTTAAACGCATCGGGAGGCATCATATATTTCAAATTAGACACGAGGAAGTCAATATTGAGCAAGTTATGGCTGTTTTAAATTCAAATAAAACCGTTAACCCGTACCGGTCCAGCTTTTGACCCGTACCGGTCAATTTTCGTTAGCTGCGTATACCAAGGGTGGTACAGTTGTTTGGTATTGAAGTAACCAATCTGATCCTAAATAAAAAATAAACTCAAAGCGATCGGCAACTTGGATAGAAGTTTGAGAAAACTGCTCACAAAGTAGGCATCGTGTTCCAAAGTGAAGTTTACTGCTCTTGTAGTTTCAGTTGTAGGTTAACAATTGAGCATAGCTCTCCTTTATTTATGTAATTGTAATCGTCATCACTCTACCCACATTCATTTATTACCACTATACATTAATAATAATAACAATTATAAAGTTGCTTGTTTCTTTTCAAATAATTGTTTATGGACTACTAAAAAATAATTACCGGTACATGTATTTGTAAATAAAATATGAGTCTGTCCCCCTTACAAATACAATAGCAATCAATCATGTGATTATTTCTGTATAACCTTTCAAAATACTAATACTTAAAAAGGCCCAATAAAGGCCAAGTAATGCCCAAAAAGGCCCACTTATTGAGGCCCTACAAAGTTTTGGGCCCAAATTATTCTCTATAATCGTCAAAGCTTGAAAATATCTCGACTTAACACCACAGTTTATCATGTTTATATCTTTCTTCCAGAATGCCACACCACAATTCCAGATGATGGAAACCTTTACAACTTTACTATTGACCAAATGGCTGACTTTTTCAAACAGCAAAATATTGAGGACTCAGTTATCCAACAAATGAAAGCAGCTCATCTTGATGGAAAAGCTTTTTCCAAACTATCTGACAACCAATTAAAGAGATATGGACTTGACAAACAAGGCACACATATGCAACTTTTCAGAAATCTTTCAAGAAAAAAGACACACTTTTTCTCAAAATTTCTAACTTTTTCAAAGAAATAATGAGGTGACTTCAGAATTAAAGAGCCCATTTCAATTTTCCTGTAAGAAGTATCTGATGTCTGAATGCTATTGCTTTTTATGCTTAACAAAAAACAAGGCATTAACATGACAATATGTCACTACCTGGAAAGCGTAACAATTGTGACACACTCTGTTGACAAACGGTGGTCACACTTCTTGGTTGTGACATAAAAATTATTGCTAGTATATTTTAGATGTGTATTTTTGTCAAACAAATTACAGAAAGATATAATGCATGGTGTAATGAAATGGCATTTCACTAAAATTGAGATCTCTATTGACAAATGCACATTTCTGTTTTATCCAGGGTTGGAACTGGCCAAAATGTTGATTGGTATGATCTGTGATATCTAGATGCAAATATCATGCACCTAAATTCGTTTTTGCACTGGTTAAACATGTTATATACATGAACATTAAAAGGGATCATGGTTTAATGCCATATTTATTCCATTGGAAAAAATATTCACTTTAAACCCGAGTCACAATTAACATAATGTATTAGAACTACTCTTGGTACATAACAAATAAATGTGTTTATACAGATATAAATCACACAAACAATTGTTTTAGATATAATCTGTATATTACACTACATTTCAAACTATGTCACAATCTGACAAGATATTCTAAATACATTCATACATATTGCAATACAATATGAGCCATCAACGATTATGTTTTTTTTATGAAAAATGGCGGCATTTTGAAATTCAGTTGCCGTCTTGAAAATGTTTTCTTTAGTAGAGTTCATTGTCCCTTACCATCTACATATAAAAGAACTAAATCCATCAATTGGCATTTGAGTTATCAACGAATACGTTAAGTTCTTTTATGAAAAATGGCAGCCGTTTGAATTCAGCAATCATCTTGAAAATTCTTTCTCGAACAGAGCTACTATGTCCCTTGGCATCAGCATATAAAATTTGAGCCAAATCCGTTCACTGGTATTTAAGTTATCAAAGATAACATTTTTTTGCAAAAAATGACAGCCATTTTAAAATCCAGCCGCCATCTTGAAAATTCTTTCTTGAACAGAGCTACTATATCCTTCGGCAACGGCATATACAATTTGACTGAAATCCGTTTCCTAGTATCACAGGCTGGTATCGAAAGATTTGTCCGCTGTGACGGAGCATGCTATTTTTCATAAAAACACTAAGAATGCTTCACGATTTATTTTTTAACTCATATGTTTCGTTATATCAAAGATAATTACTTACTCCATGCAATGGATATATCATTTGCGTGTAACCTTCACTTCTGTTTGAAGTCTAATAACGCTAGGAGTAAAATCTATTGAAAACGGCGCCAGAGTATCAAACTCTAAAATGTACCATTTCTTTTTTAATTTTTTAATGGCATGATATAGTGACACGATAATATGTTATATGTTATATTTTATCTATGTCTCACGCCATTTAAAATACATACAATTATAAAACAATAATATTAAAATCGTCTGGCCCGGCCGGTGTCGACCTATGAGAGACTAGATTCAGTATGACTATATAAAAGGTTAAATTATCACAGTAGAGTACGTCTTTTTAAAATCATTTTTATAAGTGTTTTGGATAGTGTCCTTTGTAGGCTCTGTGTTGACATAATATTGCAAAATTGTTGAATATGGTTAAGCTGGTGAAAGTCAGGAATTTCCTTAACACAATCTAAAAACAATGGAGTTCTCAGTTCTTCATAACTATTGCACTGTAAAAGAAAATGAAACTCGTCCTCAACAGTTAAATTATCACAGTGACATCGGCGATTCTGGAGTGGGGTATTGTTATATCGTCCAGTTTCGATCTTCAATGGGAGTGTTCCACTTCTAAGTTGGGCAATAGCTCTGCGTTCACTCCTTGACATGTTGATACAAGTATAATGGGCGGGCTGCATGGAATGTGTTTTAAACAGTCGATATGTCCGTAATTTGTTGCCATTTGGGTTACGACTATCGTCCCAAAGACTGTTGTGCCATTCCACGTGATCTGCTCTGATACATGCTTCTTTGACCTCGTTAAGATGGCATTTAACTCGAGATATACTAGTATCATTGTTGATAAGCTGAGTAAAGTCCAGATCTTGTAACATTTCCGGGTGAGATTTTCCCAAGATTTATGATGTCGAACAGACCATTTTGAATAATATTAATATTAACATATGTTTTCACCATAACTCTGAATGTATTAATGAAATATTAATGCATTGGATCTTTTTAATTTTTTTATAAAAAATAATATTAATATTTTTTGTCCGCTGTGACGGTGCATTTTCACAGTTCACATTTGCAACTGCTCCGTCACAGCAGACAAAAAAATTAAACATTATTTTTTATAAAAGAATTAAAAAGACCAAATACATCAACATCTCATTTATACCTTCATAGTTATGCTAAAACCATGTGTAAATATTATCGTGTCACTATATCGTGCCATTAGAAAGTTAAACAAGAATTACCCTGCGTGCAGAGTCTAGTTAAACTACACTCTGCCTAGTAGAGACCATATTACAGTTTAGTAGCCCCGCCCCCACGACGGGTACCGGTGACACTAGATAGGTTAGACACTTCTAACCTACGCGCTGACCTTTCTTCCACTAATCAGCGAGCTTGAAGAAACATACGCCAAATGCGTTCTAATTAAATATGCGCATGTTATTGGTCAATTCCGGGCTCCACGATGACGTCAGAAGGCATGACCATATATAGAACGTCGGTCAAATGCGGCCGACGAACACTGATTGGCGCGGTGAGTTCACAGGTTTATTTTAGTTTGAAAGAGTGAAGACGAAGCTCTCTTTTAAGAAGTGAAGTCAAACGAATGCAAAGGGTAAACAAGAATGGTACATTTTGAAGTATGATACCCCGGCGCCATTTTCAATAGCTTTTCTTCCCAGCGTAATTGGACTTCAAACAGAAGTGAAAGTTACCCGCAAATGATATATCCATTGCATGGAGTAAGTAATTTTGTATGGTATAACGAAACATGTGAGTTAAAAAATAAATCGTGAAGTATTCTTAGTGTTTTTATGAAAATAGCATGCTCCGTCACAGCGGACAAATATTTCGATACCAGCCTGTGAGTATTATTTAAGTTATCAAAGTTTACGTTTTTTTACAAAAAATGGCGGCGATTTTGAAAATCAGCGGCCATCTTGAAAATTTCTTCTCGAGCAAAGCTCCTTAGTCCCTTGATAGCATATAAAATTTGATCCAAATCCGTTTACTAGTATTTGAGTTATCAAAGATTACATTTTTACGAAAAAGGCGGCCATTTTGAATTGAGTTGCCATAATGAAAATTCCTTCTCGAGCAGAGGTTTTACCCCATAAGGCATAAACCTAAAAATTTTGAATCAAATTCGTCAACCGGAATTTGACTTTTTGCCCAGACACACGGGCAAACGAACGAACGAACGGACGGGCGGCTTCTCTATATCCCCCTCGAATTTCGCTCGGTGGGATAATCATTATAATTCATGGAATTTCATCTCAATACCGGGCTCAATACACACTTTGCACCCATTTCTGAATATAAATATAAATAAGGCACCGGTAACCGAAAAAATAAAGTTAAGTCGTTCCTTAACATTTCTTCAGGTTGTTTTAAGTAAAAACGCATAACTAAACAGAAACTGCACAATTGAAACTGAAACTACACCACGTCAATTATCGCACTTTTTAGTTCAGTTGTGACTATTGTGTATATTGGTTTAGAAACCGAGTTCGGAATACTAGTAAGCCTACTCGTTTAGAGGAGATAAAAGGGAAAATGTTTACCACGTTTATAACTATGTACATAACAGAACTATATAATAGTTTAGTAAATTTCGGTCCTGTTGACCAAAAAGCATATTTTATAGATCTGGTATATAGCCTAATACTTGAGATGTTTACAATTCAATCATTAACAGATTAAAGGACTACTATCTTGATAAATTATATTTTCGCCGTATATGGTGTACAAAATAAACGTTATCTAAAGACGTAATGAAAAAGGTGGTAGCAACACATGAAGTACTAATACTAAGTAGGTGTTTAATAGAGGGACATGGGCTTAATTCGTTGATTTATAATGTCACATTTTGTTTTAAAACTAAGCCCTTAAATAGTTAGGTTTAAAAGAACGAAAATGGATTCAACGTTTTCTCTGAGAGAATTTATTGACATTAACAAGGATGTGTTGCCAGAACGTGTCAAGGTTACTGGGGGTGTACAGTGTGGTGAGGACGAGGATTTACCAACAGGTACTGTCCTGGATCTACATTCAGTACACGTAAAACAGATCAACCTTGTATATAAGGAGAAGGGAAGAAAGATTGAAAATAGAATAGCCATACACGAGTCTAATCCAACAAAATTCCAAATTCTGGATTACCACCCAGTAGGACATGTGTACACTACAGTAAAGGATTTGATTGAAGTTTGCCCGTTTGTTGTAAAATGTAACAAGACGTGGCGAAGCGATGACGGAGCTTTTCTATTAGAGAAAGATGAGATCTTGAAATTAATCAGACTTGTAGTGGGCAAAAATTGGCAGAGGTTATTAGAATGTAAACTTGTTAGACAAATGAAGCTTGTTCAGCTTCCAATGGACTGTGAGGGACATTTCACTGCAAAGAAACTAAACAACTTTTACACAGTGTCAGATTTGGTACATCAATTTCCAAAAGAACGTAAACTCAAGCTGGTGAAAGGCGATGTAATAGATGAACGAAATCAAATCCAAGGTCTCCCTCTGGATGGATTAGTCACGATGCTTACACCCGACCTGGAGGTAGAATACTCCATGAAGGAATATCCTGGTGATAGGCACAGGTTGGACGTCAATAAACAATTGATAAACAAATAAACAACTGCTTCCAATCAGGGCTAAAGTTCACGATTGGGATGAGATAACAAGTATCACTGAACATCTCAATATTCGTCCAGGTGTGCAAATCGATATTCACGGATACCAGGACGAAAGGATGAAATTCCTCCTCTGGTGCGATGGCGACTATTTCATTATTCCCTCTTCTTATCAAGGGCGATTCAGGGCTTGTCCCAAACAAATCAACAGCGTCGAAGATCTGTTGAAGCACAATGGAGATCGTGTGTTGGTAGTGAAAGAGGCCAAGTATATGTCATATGATTCCGTTAACGTTGGGGATGTCTTAGACCTGACACGAAGGAGATTATCTCATCTAGAAAGAGTCGAACAAGGAAAACATCATCGGGATGCGGAGGTGGAAGTACTGCTGTGTACGAAAGAATCCCCCGGCGCTATGTACTCAATACCAGTCAGTCTCCCAACATTCATGGAAGGTGTATTTGAACCAATCCCCAAAGACACAACCCTATACAGCATAACCAATGCCCATGCGGTTTACAAAAGAGGCAGTCAATTTGAACTTGTCAGACCGGATCCACGATTCGAGGATATATTGCCACAAAATACCAGGATAACACTGGACTTTTGTATCAGAGAACCCGAAATTATGATATCGTTAGCAGACGACAAAATGGCTATGCATCTTCCAACAAGGACAGATATACAAGTTTCATTCATGACACAGATTCAGCACAAAAATGTGAAACTGGCTGAGTTGGACAGTGCACCAGAGAAGTTATCAGCTGAACGATACAACGAACTTGCAGCCCAAGACCACGATTACGAAACGGTTGACTACGAAATTGTGAATGCATTTCCTCGAATGGTAGTTGATGGCGATAATCAGATTTACACAGACGGTGGTAGGTGTTGTTAATTGGTTTATTCAGCTTGTTCATCACAGGCTGGTATCGAAAATTTGTCCGCTGTGACGGAGCGTGCTATTTTGCATAGAATCACTAGGAAATCCACACAATTTATTTTTTTACTCATATGTTTTGCTATATCAAAGAAAATTACTGACTCCATGCAATGAATATATCATTTGCGGGTAGCTTTAAATTCTGTCTGAAATCCAACAACGCTATGAGTAAAAGCTATTGAAAACGGCGCCGGAGTATCATACTCCAAAATGTACCATTTCTTTTATTTCTTTTTAATGGTACAATATAGCGACACGATAATATTTACATATGTTTTCAGCATAACTCCGAAGGTATTAATGAGATCTTTATGTATTGGGTATTTTTAATTTTTTTGATAAAAAATAATAATTAATTTTTTTGTCCGCTGTGACGGAGCAGTTTCAAATCTGAAATGCGTTAAGAATTTAGATTCATAATATATTTCTTTACAACTAAACTTTAGAGGAGCGAGCGTGTCAAATCTCTTTCTTAAAGTATTCTGAAAAATGAAACGTAATAAAAGTACACAATTCAAATTCTGAAATGTATATAAGTAAAATGATTTATGAAGCTAAATACATTTAATGGTATGGACTGTGGATTGTTCTACCCTCTTTAGTCGTTCCAAAAGGTAAGTTGAATGTATCTTGAAATACGAAAATGCAAAATTTGATTTTAAGATCGTTCTTTATTTGACTAAGAGTTATGGCTATCTGATGCAACTACAGTAAAATATGTGTACAGTGAATACATATGGAGCCCAAAAATGTGTTCCCACTAGATGTTCACTCCATAGAGGCAATTTCAAACAGAAGTCAGAGGAATATTTGATAAGAAGAGGTATTCACTAGAGACAGATATTCATTGATACAGGTTTTACAGTGCAGCATGTTCACAAAGACTTTTTTTATAATTTTATTCTATGAAAAACGATGAATTTCATGAATTTCAAATAATTACAAATTAAATCTGTATTGGGATCATCTTATATACAGTAATATAATATTATGTGGTAAAAGGTTATACATCTGTCGGAATGCATGATGTCTGTGCGCTATTTCGAATAAGTAAATTCATATTAGCCCTATTTACACTACACGTGACATTTCAAAACGTCTAGACGAAAACGTATTAGAAATATTATGTTGAGTTTACATCATGTTGATTCATGTTGATTTCAGTACAAACCTCCAAAAATGCTAAGAGTGGTCGTTTTTAATCTCAGATTTACATTACCCCATATCTCCAAGATGCTGCTTGTCATTATTTAGGAAAGTGATTTGTGACGTTCTCTCTTCTAAAGCCCGGTATACACCAATGGGGCAAGTTGGGACCTCCATAGACTTAACATTGCGTGGGACCTCGTGGGACCTTTTGGGATTTTGCCCCATGAAGTCCTTGGGACTCCATGGGACTCCGTGGGATTTTGCCCCATCTTGCCCCATCGAGTCCCACGAGGTCCCATGAGGTCCCATGAAGTCCCACGTGGGACTCGATGGGGCAAGATGGGGCAAAATCCCACGAAGTCCCATGGAGTCCCATCGAGAATGAACATGTTCATTCTTTCCATGGGGCATCGTGGGATTTTCGATCATATGACGTGTTGTGCGAAGCCTGACATACACCAATGGGGCACAGTGGGATTTGATTGGACTCCATGGGACTTGATGGGACTCCATGGGGCACGATGGGACAAAGTCATCAAGGTCCCATGGGACCTCGTGGGATTCGATGGGGCAAATTGGGATTCGATGGGGCAAGATTGGACTCGATGGGGCAAGTGGGATTTTGCCCCATTGGTTATACCGGGCTTAAGGGTACTTTTAAAAGATATAATTTGAATCTTAAATTCTTAACATAGTTCACAGTTAAAACTGCTCCGTCACAGCTGACAAAAAATGTAAACATTATTTTTTATAAAAAATATTAAAAATACCCAATACATCAAGATATCATAAATACCTTCAGAGTTATGCTGAAAACATATGTAAATATTATCGTGTCACTATATTGTACCATTAAAAAGAAATAAAACAAATGGTACATTTTGGAGTATGATACCCCGGCGCCGTTTTCAATAGCTTTTACTCTTAGCGTTGTTGGACTTCAAACAACAGTTAAAATTACCCGCAAATGATATACCCATTGCATGGAGTAAGAAATTTTCTTTGGTATAGCGAAACATATGAGTAAAAAGATAAATTGTGTGGGTTTCTTAGTGTTTCTATGCAAAATAGCACGCTCCGTCACAGCGGACAAATTTTTCGATACCAGCCTGTGTTCATGGAGAAAACAGCCCAAAAAGTGCTCACTCAAAAATGAAATATACCTTGAACCAACACTATGACTGTATGTCAGGAGACCTATGTGGTCCTCATGAAATTTCAAGTCAAAATTCAAGTTAAATAAATTCTAAACTTTGTGACAAAGAATTTCTATAGCTATTGCCCCGAACCGGTCCGTCTTCTCGCTGCAAGCTGTTGCCCCGAACCGATCCGTCTTCTCGCTGCAAGCAGGAGGAAATTCTTTGTCACAAAGTTTGGCATTTTTTATAAAATCAAACGCGCGTCATTGAAACTCACAAGATGTAAATAGCATGTCATTTACATCATACCTTGATGGGGAAAAATAGATCTTATATGTTAGAAGTACTAAATAAAAGTTATCGTGAAAATGAGACAGTCATTCTCGAGAGAAAAGAGCATAAATGCGCATTTAGAGAGTTTTGGTCCGTTTAAAAATCTGTAAAAAATTGGGGTACTTAAACGCATCGGGAGGCATCATATATTTCAAATTAGACACGAGGAAGTCAATATTGAGCAAGTTATGGCTGTTTTAAATTCAAATAAAACCGTTAACCCGTACCGGTCCAGCTTTTGACCCGTACCGGTCAATTTTCGTTAGCTGCGTATACCAAGGGTGGTACAGTTGTTTGGTATTGAAGTAACCAATCTGATCCTAAATAAAAAATAATAAAGGCCAAGTAATGCCCAAAAAGGCCCACTTATTGAGGCCCTACAAAGTTTTGGGCCCAAATTATTCTCTATAATCGTCAAAGCTTGAAAATATCTCGACTTAACACCACAGTTTATCATGTTTATATCTTTCTTCCAGAATGCCACACCACAATTCCAGATGATGGAAACCTTTACAACTTTACTATTGACCAAATGGCTGACTTTTTCAAACAGCAAAATATTGAGGACTCAGTTATCCAACAAATGAAAGCAGCTCATCTTGATGGAAAAGCTTTTTCCAAACTATCTGACAACCAATTAAAGAGATATGGACTTGACAAACAAGGCACACATATGCAACTTTTCAGAAATCTTTCAAGAAAAAAGACACACTTTTTCTCAAAATTTCTAACTTTTTCAAAGAAATAATGAGGTGACTTCAGAATTAAAGAGCCCATTTCAATTTTCCTGTAAGAAGTATCTGATGTCTGAATGCTATTGCTTTTTATGCTTAACAAAAAACAAGGCATTAACATGACAATATGTCACTACCTGGAAAGCGTAACAATTGTGACACACTCTGTTGACAAACGGTGGTCACACTTCTTGGTTGTGACATAAAAATTATTGCTAGTATATTTTAGATGTGTATTTTTGTCAAACAAATTACAGAAAGATATAATGCATGGTGTAATGAAATGGCATTTCACTAAAATTGAGATCTCTATTGACAAATGCACATTTCTGTTTTATCCAGGGTTGGAACTGGCCAAAATGTTGATTGGTATGATCTGTGATATCTAGATGCAAATATCATGCACCTAAATTCGTTTTTGCACTGGTTAAACATGTTATATACATGAACATTAAAAGGGATCATGGTTTAATGCCATATTTATTCCATTGGAAAAAATATTCACTTTAAACCCGAGTCACAATTAACATAATGTATTAGAACTACTCTTGGTACATAACAAATAAATGTGTTTATACAGATATAAATCACACAAACAATTGTTTTAGATATAATCTGTATATTACACTACATTTCAAACTATGTCACAATCTGACAAGATATTCTAAATACATTCATACATATTGCAATACAATATGAGCCATCAACGATTATGTTTTTTTTATGAAAAATGGCGGCATTTTGAAATTCAGTTGCCGTCTTGAAAATGTTTTCTTTAGTAGAGTTCATTGTCCCTTACCATCTACATATAAAAGAACTAAATCCATCAATTGGCATTTGAGTTATCAACGAATACGTTAAGTTCTTTTATGAAAAATGGCAGCCGTTTGAATTCAGCAATCATCTTGAAAATTCTTTCTCGAACAGAGCTACTATGTCCCTTGGCATCAGCATATAAAATTTGAGCCAAATCCGTTCACTGGTATTTAAGTTATCAAAGATAACATTTTTTTGCAAAAAATGACAGCCATTTTAAAATCCAGCCGCCATCTTGAAAATTCTTTCTTGAACAGAGCTACTATATCCTTCGGCAACGGCATATACAATTTGACTGAAATCCGTTTCCTAGTATCACAGGCTGGTATCGAAAGATTTGTCCGCTGTGACGGAGCATGCTATTTTTCATAAAAACACTAAGAATGCTTCACGATTTATTTTTTAACTCATATGTTTCGTTATATCAAAGATAATTACTTACTCCATGCAATGGATATATCATTTGCGTGTAACCTTCACTTCTGTTTGAAGTCTAATAACGCTAGGAGTAAAATCTATTGAAAACGGCGCCAGAGTATCAAACTCTAAAATGTACCATTTCTTTTTTAATTTTTTAATGGCATGATATAGTGACACGATAATATGTTATATGTTATATTTTATCTATGTCTCACGCCATTTAAAATACATACAATTATAAAACAATAATATTAAAATCGTCTGGCCCGGCCGGTGTCGACCTATGAGAGACTAGATTCAGTATGACTATATAAAAGGTTAAATTATCACAGTAGAGTACGTCTTTTTAAAATCATTTTTATAAGTGTTTTGGATAGTGTCCTTTGTAGGCTCTGTGTTGACATAATATTGCAAAATTGTTGAATATGGTTAAGCTGGTGAAAGTCAGGAATTTCCTTAACACAATCTAAAAACAATGGAGTTCTCAGTTCTTCATAACTATTGCACTGTAAAAGAAAATGAAACTCGTCCTCAACAGTTAAATTATCACAGTGACATCGGCGATTCTGGAGTGGGGTATTGTTATATCGTCCAGTTTCGATCTTCAATGGGAGTGTTCCACTTCTAAGTTGGGCAATAGCTCTGCGTTCACTCCTTGACATGTTGATACAAGTATAATGGGCGGGCTGCATGGAATGTGTTTTAAACAGTCGATATGTCCGTAATTTGTTGCCATTTGGGTTACGACTATCGTCCCAAAGACTGTTGTGCCATTCCACGTGATCTGCTCTGATACATGCTTCTTTGACCTCGTTAAGATGGCATTTAACTCGAGATATACTAGTATCATTGTTGATAAGCTGAGTAAAGTCCAGATCTTGTAACATTTCCGGGTGAGATTTTCCCAAGATTTATGATGTCGAACAGACCATTTTGAATAATATTAATATTAACATATGTTTTCACCATAACTCTGAATGTATTAATGAAATATTAATGCATTGGATCTTTTTAATTTTTTTATAAAAAATAATATTAATATTTTTTGTCCGCTGTGACGGTGCATTTTCACAGTTCACATTTGCAACTGCTCCGTCACAGCAGACAAAAAAATTAAACATTATTTTTTATAAAAGAATTAAAAAGACCAAATACATCAACATCTCATTTATACCTTCATAGTTATGCTAAAACCATGTGTAAATATTATCGTGTCACTATATCGTGCCATTAGAAAGTTAAACAAGAATTACCCTGCGTGCAGAGTCTAGTTAAACTACACTCTGCCTAGTAGAGACCATATTACAGTTTAGTAGCCCCGCCCCCACGACGGGTACCGGTGACACTAGATAGGTTAGACACTTCTAACCTACGCGCTGACCTTTCTTCCACTAATCAGCGAGCTTGAAGAAACATACGCCAAATGCGTTCTAATTAAATATGCGCATGTTATTGGTCAATTCCGGGCTCCACGATGACGTCAGAAGGCATGACCATATATAGAACGTCGGTCAAATGCGGCCGACGAACACTGATTGGCGCGGTGAGTTCACAGGTTTATTTTAGTTTGAAAGAGTGAAGACGAAGCTCTCTTTTAAGAAGTGAAGTCAAACGAATGCAAAGGGTAAACAAGAATGGTACATTTTGAAGTATGATACCCCGGCGCCATTTTCAATAGCTTTTCTTCCCAGCGTAATTGGACTTCAAACAGAAGTGAAAGTTACCCGCAAATGATATATCCATTGCATGGAGTAAGTAATTTTGTATGGTATAACGAAACATGTGAGTTAAAAAATAAATCGTGAAGTATTCTTAGTGTTTTTATGAAAATAGCATGCTCCGTCACAGCGGACAAATATTTCGATACCAGCCTGTGAGTATTATTTAAGTTATCAAAGTTTACGTTTTTTTACAAAAAATGGCGGCGATTTTGAAAATCAGCGGCCATCTTGAAAATTTCTTCTCGAGCAAAGCTCCTTAGTCCCTTGATAGCATATAAAATTTGATCCAAATCCGTTTACTAGTATTTGAGTTATCAAAGATTACATTTTTACGAAAAAGGCGGCCATTTTGAATTGAGTTGCCATAATGAAAATTCCTTCTCGAGCAGAGGTTTTACCCCATAAGGCATAAACCTAAAAATTTTGAATCAAATTCGTCAACCGGAATTTGACTTTTTGCCCAGACACACGGGCAAACGAACGAACGAACGGACGGGCGGCTTCTCTATATCCCCCTCGAATTTCGCTCGGTGGGATAATCATTATAATTCATGGAATTTCATCTCAATACCGGGCTCAATACACACTTTGCACCCATTTCTGAATATAAATATAAATAAGGCACCGGTAACCGAAAAAATAAAGTTAAGTCGTTCCTTAACATTTCTTCAGGTTGTTTTAAGTAAAAACGCATAACTAAACAGAAACTGCACAATTGAAACTGAAACTACACCACGTCAATTATCGCACTTTTTAGTTCAGTTGTGACTATTGTGTATATTGGTTTAGAAACCGAGTTCGGAATACTAGTAAGCCTACTCGTTTAGAGGAGATAAAAGGGAAAATGTTTACCACGTTTATAACTATGTACATAACAGAACTATATAATAGTTTAGTAAATTTCGGTCCTGTTGACCAAAAAGCATATTTTATAGATCTGGTATATAGCCTAATACTTGAGATGTTTACAATTCAATCATTAACAGATTAAAGGACTACTATCTTGATAAATTATATTTTCGCCGTATATGGTGTACAAAATAAACGTTATCTAAAGACGTAATGAAAAAGGTGGTAGCAACACATGAAGTACTAATACTAAGTAGGTGTTTAATAGAGGGACATGGGCTTAATTCGTTGATTTATAATGTCACATTTTGTTTTAAAACTAAGCCCTTAAATAGTTAGGTTTAAAAGAACGAAAATGGATTCAACGTTTTCTCTGAGAGAATTTATTGACATTAACAAGGATGTGTTGCCAGAACGTGTCAAGGTTACTGGGGGTGTACAGTGTGGTGAGGACGAGGATTTACCAACAGGTACTGTCCTGGATCTACATTCAGTACACGTAAAACAGATCAACCTTGTATATAAGGAGAAGGGAAGAAAGATTGAAAATAGAATAGCCATACACGAGTCTAATCCAACAAAATTCCAAATTCTGGATTACCACCCAGTAGGACATGTGTACACTACAGTAAAGGATTTGATCGAAGTTTGCCCGTTTGTTGTAAAATGTAACAAGACGTGGCGAAGCGATGACGGAGCTATTCTATTAGAGAAAGATGAGATCTTGAAATTAATCAGACTTGTAGTGGGAAAAAATTGGCAGAGGTTTTTAGAATGTAAACTTGTTAGACAAATGAAGCTTGTTCAGCTTCCAATGGACTGTGAGGGACATTTCACTGCAAAGAAACTAAACAACTTTTACACAGTGTCAGATTTGGTACATCAATTTCCAAAAGAACGTAAACTCAAGCTGGTGAAAGGCGATGTAATAGATGAACGAAATCAAATCCCAGGTCTCCCTCTGGATGGATTAGTCACGATGCTTACACCCGACCTGGAGGTAGAATACTCCATGAAGGAATATCCAGGTGATAGGCACAGGTTGGGCGTCAATACGGATATGACAGTTAGCCCAAGGCCAGATGATTACATAGGTGATGTGCTAAACTATATTGACCTTAATGGTTTTGTGGAGAAAAATAAAAAACTATTTCCAATCAGGGCTAAAGTTCACGATTGGGATGAGATAACAAGTATCACTGAACATCTCAATATTCGTCCAGGTATGCAAATCGATATTCACGGATACCATGATGAAAGGATGAAATTCCTCCTCTGGTGCGATGGCGACTATTTCATTATTCCCTCTTCTTATCAAGGGCGATTCAGGGCGTGTCCCAAACAAATCAACAGCGTCGAAGATCTGTTGAAGCACAATGGAGATCGTGTGTTGGTAGTGAAAGAGGCCAAGTATATGCCATATGATTCCGTTAACGTTGGGGATATCTTAGACCTGACACGAAGGAGACTATCTCATCTAGAAAAAGTCGAACGAGGAAAACACCATCGGGATGCGGAGGTGGAAGTACTGCTGTGTACGAAAGAATCCCCCGGCGCTATGTACTCAATACCAGTCAGTCTCCCAACATTCATGGAAGGTGTATTTGAACCAATCCCCAAAGACACAACCCTATACAGCATAACCAATGCCCATGCGGTTTACAAAAGAGGCAGTCAATTTGAACTTGTCAGACCGGATCCACGATTCGAGGATATATTGCCACAAAATACCAGGATAACACTGGACTTTTGTATCAGAGAACCCGAAATTATGATATCGTTAGTAGACGACAAAATGGCTATGCATCTTCCAACAAGGACAGATATACAAGTTTCATTCATGACACAGATTCAGCACAAAAATGTAAAACTGGCTGAGTTGGACAGTGCACCAGAAAAGTTATCAGCTGAACGATACAACGAACTTGCAGCCCAAGACCACGATTACGAAACGGTTGACTACGAGATTGTGAATACATTTCCTCGAATGGTAGTTGATGGCGATAATCAGATTTACACAGACGGTGGTAGGTGCTGTTAATTAGTTTATTCAGTTTGTTCATGGAGAAAACAGTCCAAAAAGTGCTCACCCAAAAATGAAATATACCTAGAACCAAGACCTATGTGGTCCTCGTGAAATTTTCAAGTCATGTAAATCTTTCAATTATTTATAATTCTGCTTAAAACGCATCACCAATATCAAGGCTTTATTTTTAGCGTCATTGCCCAGGTCATTACCTGGAAGAAAAGAGGTATCTACACTACCACCAGTTCCCACTCAGAAAAAACACAATCCACAAGTTTCCAAATCGTTATCATTCAGTAATATAGACCAACCACCTCCTGTTCCGTTGAGACAACACAGGTTGAAGAAGACGCTGTCACAGGTTGATCAAGGCTATGTAGAGCCTATCAAGTCCCAAACTTCGCCAACCTGTCTAAAAGCCAAAGGTAATTGCTTTTCCTTCAAATGTCTGATCTATAACCTGTCCGATTTAAAAGGCCTAATATTGGTCATTTGTATTATCGGAAATAATGTACAATTGTGTTTGAGTTTTTTAGTTGTATAACAGGTAATGCATCAAAAGTGTTGCTTGTCGTCCAAAAACGTTATATGTGCTTAATTATAATAAAACACGCAAACCATTCTATTAATCAATCTATTCTACAAGTATGTATGACCTATCTTACTTATACCAGCCTACAAAATTGGGCGTTTGCACAAATCGCGTACAGTAACATAAATTATAAATGTTAAAACTAATATTATGCCACATTCGTCACGATGTCAAGTACTTCCTTATTCTTATAATTACATCGGTCCAATAGTCCTTTCTCAATTCTCAATTGAACAGTTCTTGATCTTTATGTTATGATAACCTGGGAGAGGGGCCCGTGGAGGGGGCGACTAGAAGTAAAAATCTCCACGTGAAAGACCATCATCTTCCTTGATCCCCAAGGGAACACGAATCACTTTTATTACGTTGACCGCTAAATGCACGTGACCTTAATATGTTTGAATGTTGAGTCATGGAGTCTCACCATAGCAAAAATGTAAATGTCAAGATTTTTTGACGAATGTGGCATTGACCTTTATATAGATGTATAGGTTTTCGATGAGCCTTTATATTCTGTAACCTCATTCAATAGTTTTCATTTTGATTGGGCTACCTTCAAGGTTAAGGTGGCTATCAAGACCATATTTGAAGGTCACAGTAAAATATGAATCTTCTGATGACAGGTCACATTAAAAAGGTCATTCAAGGCCACTTAGGCCATACATAATGTCATTGTTGACAAGGGAAACAGAAGTAACTTGGCACTAGCATGCAGAATGTCACAATCTGTCATATGTTAGACTTCGAACGCCGTCACAGAAAGTGAAGGCCATGACAAAATAGTAGCAATCAAGGTCAAACTTGAAGACGAAGTCAAAGATATATCATTATTTAGGTCAAGAGAGAACACTTCAAAAGGTCATTTAAGGTCAAAGAAAATGTCACAGAACTACCTCGTAGTCCATATGGGCAATTTCCTGGCTTTCTATACTTTGTTGAGAGACAATTTTCATTTTTATTCATTACACATCTTATATATGTTCTATGTTGGTCATGTAGACCCTGAAGGTGATGACGAGTACAATTATGTCGATGAGGAAGAAGTTGCCGATATATTGAAGGAGATGGGCCAGAAGTTTAAAGGCAATCAGCATGTTATTCATGGTAAGGGCCATATGAACAGTAGCATTTTGTGGTAGTACAGTTGTTTGGTATTGAAGTTACCAATCTGATCCTAAATAAAAAACTGCTCACAAAGTAGGCAACCTGTTCCAAATTGAAGTTTACTGCTCTTGTAGTTTCAGTTGTAGGTTAACAATTGAGCATAGCTCTCCTTTATTAATGTAATTGTAACCGTCATCACTCTACCCACATTCATTTATTACCACTATATATTAATAATTTCTCTTCAAATAATTGTTTATGGACTACTTAAAAATAATTACATGTATTTGTAAATAAAATATGAGTCTAATAAAACGAATACTTAAAAAGGCCCAATAAAGGCCAAGTAATGCCCAACAAGGCCCACTGATTGAGGTCCTACAAAGTTTTTGGGCCCAAATTATTCTCTATAATCGTCAAAGCTTGAAAATATCTCGACTTAACACCACAGTTTATCATGTTTATATCTTCCAGAATGCCACACCACAATTCCAGATGATGGAAACCTTTACAACTTTACTATTGAGCAAATGGCTGACTTTTTCAAACAGCAAAATATTGAGGACTCAGTTATCCAACAAATGAAAGCAGCTCATCTTGATGGAAAAGCTTTTTCCAAACTATCTGACGACCAATTAAAGAGATATGGACTTGACAAACAAGGCACACATATGCAACTTTTCAGAAATCTTTCAAGAAAAAAGACACACTTATTCTCAAAATTTCTAACTTTTTCAAAGAAATAATGAAGTGGCTTCAGAATTAATGAGCCCATTTCAATTTTCCTGTAAGAAGTATCTGATGTCTGAATGCTATTGCTTTTTATGCTTAACAAAAAACAAGGCATTAACATGACAATATGTCACTACCTGGAAAAGTGTGACAATTGTGACACACTCTGTTGCCAAACGGTGGTCACACTTCTTGGTTGTGACATAAAAATTATTGCTAGTATATTTTAGATGTGTATTTTTATCAAACAAATTACAGAGAGATACAATGCATGGTATAATGAAATGGCATTTCACTAAAATTGAGATCTCTATTGACAAATGCACATTTCTGTTTTATTCAGGGTTAGAACTGGCCAAAATGTTGATTGGTATGATCTGTGATATCTAGATGCAAATATCATGCACCTGAATTCGTTTTTGCACTGGTTAAACATGTTATATATGTGAATATTAAAAGGGATCATGGTTTAATGCCATATTTATTCCATTGGAAAAAATATTCACTTTAAACCTGAGTCACAATTAACATAATGTATTAGAACTACTCTTGGTACATAACAAATAAATGTGTATATACAGATATAAATCATACAAACAATATTGTTTTAGATAGAATCTGTATATTACACTACATTTCAAACTACAGGGTGTCCCAGAACTCATGAGAATTTTTTGAGGGAGATATAAGGCATGAATGATTTTTCTTCAAATTAAGTGCACTTAATAAACAAACATTGAGGAATAACTGACATGAATGTCAGGCACATATCTTTTATATTTCCGAATTTATTGACATTTGAATTCTACATCGCCTCAAACCCCGGAGTAGTCAGAGAAATACAACAATTTACGTCACATTTTGATAATATTTACACACTTTCTCCACTATAATAGTATTGTGTTCATTGAATTATTTCGGCGTTTCGGTACATTAGTTAATAGGATCATACACATTCAGCTAACGTATCTCTATAGAGTTATTATAGCATATTATCTGCAGTAGATGTATTTTCAGCTACTCTTTATATACATTCCCAAATCGTTCTATGGCCATTTCTGTAGGGTCCCCTGAAACAACATGACTCAATTCTTCCTCCGTTTCAGTGACATGGCCAACTTATCTTTGTTTAAGGTCCCCAAAGAAATGAAAAGTCTAGTAGAGCAAAATCTGGCAAGTATATGGAGCTACTATATATACTGTAAAGTCTCAATAGTAAATTGGATGCACTGCTGACATGCATGTAGTGACTTATTCACTGGTGCATTGTCAATATGCAAGATCATATTGGCTAGCAAATGGGGACATTTCTTTCAATCCCTCAGGAACATGTCATTATGATCTTTCAGCAAACCAAATGTTCAATCCGTTGATGTATTGGGTCTCTATCAAGATTTATATATCGTTTTTTCAAAGTGCATCATCAATATGAGAAAAATGCACAACTGAGCTTATACAAAAAACGTTGGTTTTATAGTTGAGAATTTGCATAAAATTGACAAAATGTGACAATAACTGTTGTATTTTCCCGACAACTCCGGGGTTCGTGGCGATGTAGAACTCAAATGTCAATAAATTCGGAAATATAAAAGACATGTGCCTGAAATTCATGTCACTTATTCCCCAAAGTGTGTGTAATAAGCGTACCAAATTTGAAGGAAAATCACTCATGCCTTATATCTCCCTCAAAAAATTCTCATGAGTTCTGGGACACCCTGTATGTCACAATCTGACAAGATATTCTAAATACATTCATGCATATTGCAATACAAAACAAAAAATTTACTTGTATTTTATACAATTATATTCAAACTAGTATATGAACTGCATGCAATTGCTACTACAGGGTGGTCAAAAAAAATGGAAACCCTAATACCATTTTCCTCATATCTTTGTCATTTTTAATGAAGGACCCACGGTCCTGTGCTCACACAGTTTGGAACCTTCAGAGGAATGTATATCCTGACTTTCAAACAAAAATATTGATTTGGATTTGTAGTCTCGAACTTTGAGAAACTTAGATAGCACAGTTGTGTGACCTAGTTTGATGACCTTTGACCTTGAAAATTTTACTTAGTAAGAGCTCAGTAAAGTCTTTTGTGATTAAGCTGACCAAAATTTACATCCAAAAATCAATTTGAAAAATTAACTTTTTGACCTTTCGAAGGTCACTGAAGGTCAACTAAAGGTCACATCCTAAAACTAATGTCAGATTTGAACTCCTGGCAAATTGTAGATGATTTTCACAAAAAAATTTGGTCAAATTGAAGCAAGTTGAAAAATAACTTATTTTTACTGTTTTTTGACGTCAAATATCTCAAAAACGGTAAAAATTTGACGCTGACATATATTGAGCAATATGTAGGGAATGCTTTAATCTAGTAATGATGTAATTCATTGCAAGAAATGATCAAGTATAAGGCAAACTTTGAGAAACTTGTCAATCACAAAACCTGCCATTGACTTTATACATGAGAAAGTTTCCTGAAAATGACTAAGTCCTACTTTTTGTCAAATTTTATAGAGTAAACACCAAAAACTGTAATTCCAAGAGCTTTGAAATCTTCAGAGGACATAAGTTGCATATACAGCAACTACTAAAAGTTATTTGAAAGTTCTACTTCAACAAAGTGTCTAGTATTTACAGAAAATTTGACTTTCTGATGTCAAAATCCGCAATTTCTTGGAAACCGGGCGAACTTGGGAAATGGCGATGATAGGTCAAATAGGCATTATGAATATGCATAAAATGAATGTGGCTATGACTCAATCCGAATAGCAGTTTTAATTTGTGCGACCAATGTTGACGGACGGACGGACGGACGGACGGACGGACGGACCAACGGATGGACGGATGGACGGACGGACCAACGCCTGGTCAATCCCATAGGCTCACTGTGTGAGCCAAAAATAACTCCCTGATATTTTATACTTTTGTACATCATTCAATTTGCTACCAGCCTACATTATTTCATGACCATCAGATTGATAGTCAAAATGTTACAGTACTTTAAAGAACATGCCCAGTGGCCACTATTGCGTTTTGGGGAACCTATACTCATTGTCTAAAATGTCCCTACCTGTGGGGATATGGCAGAGATAGAGTATATGAGAATGACCTCAGGACAATTGCAAACCTCAAAAGTGAGATCATTTGTGTCATTCAGGCCATACCTGCTGAGGAATGCATTCAGGTCATTGACAACTGTGCTGTTTTACCTACAGCGCGATAATGGCCAAATCTGAAGCATGTTATTCAAATTGCTGTAAAATTGTGACTATTAGTCTGATGGTCATGAAATATGGTAGGGTGGTAGGAAATTGAATGATGTACAAATGTGTGAAATATCAGCGAGTAAATTCCTAAAGTGACAAAGATGTAAGGAAAATACAGGGTTTCCATTTTTTTGACCACCCTGTACATAATTGCACTAAAGGTACAAATACAGGGCATGTATTAATATTGTAAATTACTTTATAGTTGAGAGCAAAAGCCATAGTTTTATTCCAAATTTGAAGGTTAACATTTTTATATCTATAATGTGTCCCTGTTGTATATCCAAAATTCTATTGATTTTTACATCAATTTGTCAATCTAGAAATGAAGCAAAGTGTAACCCATGTTTTAATAACATCACCCTTTAATGGTTTAAGAACATTAGCCTTTAAATGCTTTGGAAGCAAGCCAGTCAACTTTATTGTACAGTCAAATAACCCACAGTGAATTCAATTATCTTTTCTTTGCTACAGCTACATATATGTAGTGGCACTCTTGATAGAGCAAGCAAAGTGATTATATGGTTGTTTTTACTGGCTGGTCTTTGCACAAAGGTACATTTTAGAATTATTTATACGATTCACATTTATTTGGTTTTACATATGCCACAAAAGCAAGTTAAATTTTTTTCCTTAATAATAATTTAATACACATTTGCAACAGCAGTTTCACATTTACAAATCATCTAAGAATATATAAATATCTATACATATCTATGATACATAATTACAAAACTAAGCTTATCAAAATACAATAATTTATGACAGGTATATGTTCTTAATAATATCAACATGATTGGTTGGTTTGCTTAACTCTTTGAAGTCTGAGGAAGTCCCTTCAATGATTTGAATTTTTCTCGTGCTCTACCAATGAGATCACTCATCCAAAATGGCTGACCATGTATACAAAGCCAGTGAAATAGTCTAGACTGTTACAAGAATAAAAGAGTTAATTTGATTTTTAATCATTCCTATACATACACACATGTATACATCTTACCTCAAATTTTATTTCAATCAACAAATTTTCTGACACCATAAAAAGATGGCAGTTGTGAGAAATCGTATAGCTTTGCATCAAGACATAAAAGATTCAGGAGTGGGTCTGGAAACTAATGAGGGCATTTTTTAGGAAATCTTCTGGAGTCACATTAAGGGGATGTCATTGTTCAAGTCCAAAAGTACCCCTTCATTCTCATATTTTAAGGGATCCCCTCGAGGCAGAGGCCCTAGTCCGCCAGGGGTAACCTCATCTAACATGAATACGTATGGAGGGAAATACATGATGTTAAAAGCTGACAGAATAGATGTAAGATTATCACAAACCCATTGAACTGTACTACAAAATATTATATATGCAGTGCAACCAACTGCAGTCTTTTAACAGTATTGGAACTTAAACCAGCAAATAATGCCACCTATATTGCCCATTTTGTTCATTACCTCATTTGGAAAAATTTGGATTTCATGATTAAATGCTTGTCTGTTTAGTCTGACTGCACCAGGAAGGAGTTATTTCAATGGTGTGCCGTAATTGTGTTCAAAATCTTGCGAATTTATCTTGATATCAGATTAAAGGAATAAATACCAAGAATCAATGCACCATAGCAAATGAAATCACAAACCAGAAAACAGCCATTTTCATTTGGAGGTCAATTTAGAGGTCATACATACTCTACCCTTTGCATTCGTTTGACTTCACTTCTTAAAAGAGAGCTTCGTCTTCACCCTTTCAAACTAAAATAAACCTGTGAACTCACCGCGCCAATCAGTGTTCGTCGGCCAAATTTGACCGACGTTCTATATATGGTCATTCCTTCTGACGTCATCGTTGAGCTCGGAATTGACCAATGACATGCGCATATTTAATTAGAACGCATTTGGCATATGTTTCTTCAAGCTCGCTGACTGGTGTAAGAAAGGTCTGCGCGTAGGTCAAAAGTAATTTATTACCCAAACTGTCACTGGTACCCGTCGTGGGGGCGGGGCTACTAAACTGTAATATGGTCTCTACTAGGCAGAGTGTAGTTTAACTAGACTCTGCACGCAGGGTATACATACTCTTTTATAGACCACCAATTCAGTTGCTATTTTTTATTGAGATGCAATTTATGTGATATAAGAATCCCTTTAGATTCTGCAAAACACTTAACATTTTTTCGATGTTGAACTGTAACTTATGAGTCTGATATTGCACCATGGTTAATAATAAATATGAGGCAAAACTATGAAATAATTTTCCCCAAAAGCTCATCTACTTCAGGTACATTGTAAAGTAAAGGTGTGTATGGAGAGAAGACATGGGGCTTGAAGCAGGACTACTTAAGCGTTTTAATTTATAATGTAAACACTAGTATATAACAATAATAATATGTATACAATATTGTCCACATACAACATTTTTAGCCATATATACACAGATGGGTATATTGTTCATATTCTCTAAATGCATTCAATATTATTACCACATCAATAAGTATATTTGCTATCAATGGGTAAGACGTCTTAATGTCAATAGATACTACATGCAAAGGGAACATAATAATCACCATAGAACTGTTATAATAACACAAGGGGGACATGTGTATAGTCTAGCTACAAGTCCTTGTGAGCCCCCCCCCCCCACTACAACACACCTCACCCCTAAGTGAGAAGGTGAGTAGTAAAGTGGTGGGAAGGGGGTCACGGGGGCTTGAAGCTAGACCAACATATGTATATGAATATGAATAGACAGAAATTGAATTTATTGATGAATGAAATATGAAATTAGGTTATACTTTTTATACTAATTAATTAACTAAATCACTCAATCTGACGATGAAAAAATCTGATGAGTTTAGACGTAATTTTAAAGGAAAAGGAAAATCTGTGAAATTTTAGATATAAAACCATGTGTAGCATCATTGATTGGAAGACTGGTCACAGTTGATCTTCTCTAAAACAGGAATGACTGCAACATCATGAACAATAATGATGACAACAACATGGATAATTGTGTTGATGATTGTGACAAAAGATATACACTAAAACACAGATGTCAACTGTCACCATCAATATACAAAACATGTTTCAATATGGATTTAAAACTATGAGATTTCGAAATACTCATGTTCACTTCTTTAATCTTTTTTTAAAGCATTCGTCACATCTCCATGAGAGAATCCATTTGATACTGCATTGCTATTCTGGTCTTTCTTCCCAACTGGTTTTTTCCTATAGGCATCAATATAAAATTTGGCAAAAAGTGCAAAGAACATAACCGCATAGAGTCCTATCCAATATACAAAGAGTTTGGGGTAAGAACAGTTTTCCATGAAGAGCAGCTGAGCACTGTGAATGGTTACCACGGTAAACTGTGTCTGCAAATACAGAAAGGTTTTAGTTTAGTTGATTAACATACATAAACTATACACATGTACATTAGCCAATATAACTACATAAACATTCCTCCGACTTTTGGGATATAATAGTGTTTTGTGAATGGCTGAAGCTCTGTCCACTTTCGAATTTGTATGGCTAATAAGTATTTTTATGGCATCTGTTTCTAGAATACTCACGAGTTGTAGTTTAGTCAAGTGTTTTTTCCACCAGAGGTATTTCTGTACTGCAGGTCCAAGAGATGCTAAGCCATAATATGTATACATCACCACATGGACAAATGAGTTAAGTGTAGCATGGAAAGTACCAAATCCACCTGAAATAAAACAAAATATATATAACACCCCGACATTTGAACTCGGAATCCTACAAATACTCAGACTTCAGCAAACATGAGGTTTGGGCAAATTAGGTTCAATTCTTATGCCGGGCATAAGAGTAGATCTGTTCTTATGCCGGGCATAAGAGTAGATCTGTTCTTATGCCGGGCATAAGAGTAGATCTGTTCTTATGCCGGGCATAAGAGTAGATCTGTTCTTATGCCCGGCATAAGAGAAGATCTGTTCTTATGCCCGGCATAAGAGTAGATCTGTTCTTATGCCCGGCATAAGAGAAGATCTGTTCTTATGCCCTGCATAAGAGAAGATCTGTTCTTATGCCCGGCATAAGATTAGATCTGTTCTTATGCCCGGCATAAGAGTAGATTTGTTCTTATGCCCGGCATAGGAGTAGATCTGTTCTTTAGTCGGCATATATAGAAGATCTGTCCTTATGCTTTGCAAAAGATAATGAGAGTAAATTTGTTCACTTCAAGTTTACACGCTCACAAATTTGTTATATATTTTTACCAGTATTGGTCATTATTTCAATGCTCTGATAGATTTTGTATACCAGTACAGCAGTAAATAACAAAGAAATTTTGTATTTATTTATAACAGTTCACTTTATATTCATTTGATTTAATCAATATATCACTGTATATGTATTCTTTTGAAGTTAGTATAGATAATTATAATGGTGTTTGAATTTTTCGTCAATTAATTTATTTTGCTAAGTTGGTTTTGACTTTAATGTATTGTCAGTAGCCTAGCACTGTGTTATGGAGCTTCAAATGTAATTTCAATTCTCTGTTGACTTGAAGGATCCATAGATCTGTAGCCTAGATTTGCAGAGCTTTTACGACAACATTTTACTTGTTGTAAGTTGTAATCCAGATGTAACCATCCATATCATGTAGTAGCCATCCTTAGCTCATAGTCACAGGAGGAATTTTAGGCTTATTCATATAAAGTCCCTTTCCAAGTGATTTCCAAATTGATTAATTTCCAAATTAGATGCTGTGGAGTCAGGACATCAAATGGTAGATGTAATCAATGTAATTGACTGTACATAGTACAATAATTGGTATGCACATTGTACATAATACATGCACTGTGTAGCCAGTGTGCAGCACAGCAAAAGTTTCCTTTGTTTATGTTGGTATTACCATTTACCATGGTCCTCAGAATGTAAACACCAATATCGGTCCATCCATGTGAAGAGGGTGTACTAGCCTATTGCCTATAGTCGCTACAGTCACAAAGAACAACATGATGATGGAACGGAACAGTTTAGGCCCAGATCTGCAGAGTCATATGGTGTAGGGAGCCAAGGGGTAAGTACATTTTCAGCAACTGCCTAAATTGCAATTCATCTGTTGTGTCTGTAGTGTTGGCACCTTTCTGCTTTTCCAACATTCTGAAAATGACAAACTAATTTTCAGCAATGTACAATGTAGGCCTATAACTTAGATCTAGTCACAAAATGTCTGTTCCTATCCTTGTCATATGAATTCAAAATGAAATTTGTGTTAGGCTATCCTAATCTTCATACTGTATTACTGAGAGACGGAGACTTAATTTTGTAATTTTGTGCTCCAAAGACAGTCATGAATTTATTTTCAGCTTTGATATAAATTGGCATGATTGAGGATTGATTTACAAATTACATTATTTTAAATATTTTCTACTTCTATACAGGCTTATTACTTGTTTGAAATCAAAAACAATCATGAAAACATACCCAGAATTCTGCAACAAATTTGTTCCAAATCAGCCAGTTGATCTTTTGCTTCTTCCATTTTTCTGTGCTGTCTGCTAAATATTTTGACCTTGGTTGCCATGACACATGTTTGTTTATATGTTTGTTTGATGACATCAGATTCTAAGAATTCTCTATCTTGAACTTTCTCTGCTTGTCATATGGTTGGTTGCCATGACACAAGAAGATTTGTTTACATTGACCTGGCTTTGACCCTGTTTGTTTGATGAGTCATAATTCATAATTCATCAGAAGACATCTAGGCTCACACACTGACTGACTGACACACAGCCTTGACAGAAAATCTTTGTTGGAAAAGTGTCCTAGGCAATTGATTTGAATACTTGTAGATCTTTCTTTGGCAGATTGATATGTAAGTACATGTATATTATTGAAATAATGTTCATATTTTATAAATGCTCAAATAATTTTAAATGAAATTCATAGAAAACAGAGAGATGAAATGTGAATGTTTCACCATTTTTCCTCAAATGGTGACTTGACTGATGATATCAGATTTGGCTTTGATTTGTCATTTGAGTTATTTCTAAATTAGAGATGATGTTCATTAGATTCTAGTTTATTGAGTTCAATACAAATGTGGGTTTATTTCTAGGGGGGAGTAGGTGGTAAAGCAAGAGTTAATAATTGGTCATATTTAATTTTTTCTTATAATACTTTTTCCTCTAAATTTGAAAGTGTATGTAATGAGTCTACATTAAGAGAAATGGTCCTATCACCGCATGGGTAGGGGAAATGGTCCTAATTATCGCACAATTGTCCTAAATAGCTAAAATATGCACCCACCATCTTTTAAGCCAGTGTTACGAAAAACAGTTCTAACACCATTATTCCCAATCTTCATGATTTATTCAATTTAAAGGTGTTATAACCAAATGCCATGACGCACATTGTAAAGTTTTCCTGCGTCAATGTGTATCTATCTGCATGTAACCTTTGGAGACAATGTAAACGCAACTAAATTGATAGACAAATTAGCGATCAAATCAAAAAAAAGTTAAGGACCGGTCTTTTTCCTCATAGGTTTACATGTTAAACCCCATGTCTGTTTGAACTCTTATTTTCAAAGCCTGAAACGAAAGAAAAACTGATAATGTAAATGGAAATGTACCTTGACTCTATTCTCTATATTTCAGAAAATTTTCAATTCAATCTCCGTTTCAATAAGTCAAAAATTGATGTCAAATTTGAGGAATTTAATAAAAATGGCAGGACCAATGTAAACCAAATTGGAAGGGGTTGGGTTGCCAAGCCAAAAGTCGTATGAGAAAATATCCATCCATACAATTGCTCTCAAAAATAAAATTTAAATAGACAATTGAATTTGTCCACAACAAAAAATTGATTTGTTTCTCCAGGTTTTACAAAGTTATGAATCTCAAAAGTCAAAATCATTTCTCAATATAAACCTCCCATTGAAATAACACAGGGGTCAAAAATGAGTTGTCAAAAATATGTTGATGCTCTATATCTGTAATTCTCACAAAGTAAGCTTAACACCAAACATGCAGAAAGTAAAACAATTTGCAATTGTCTACTCAGAAATTATCTTTAAGGTACAGCTGGAAAGAAACATTTTGGTAAAAAATTGCTATACCTGCACATATTATTTTCTGGTACAAAATAAAGTATGAAGGCATGTGCCAATTTCCTTGCTTTTTTCAGGAAAGTATCATTACATTGTCTTCTTTTAAAATGTCTGCATGGTAGGAGTTCAATGGGAACTCCAGGAAATTCTGATATTTCACACTTTCTATTTTTCCAAATTTTCTTTTAAAGTTTTCTGACAACACAGGAGCTACCATTGACCTGTTTCCAGGTTTACTAAAAGTAGACAGTGTAATGAAACTTTCCTGAAAAAAGCAAGGAAATACACACATGCCTTCATACTTAATTTTGTACCAGAAAATAACATGTGCAGGTATAGCAGTTTTTTACCAAAATGTTACTTTCCAGCCCGCCTTAATAAATGTTTTACCGTCCGAATATATACTGTAAAACGGGTAATTTTGACACCGGGAAATTTTAGCGATTTTTCAATTTTAGGGGGTTTAAGCGCGGGAAATTTTAGCGAAATGAAGATTAATCTTTAAAAAATCAAATTAGCGAAATGCATTTAAGTTTTATTATTGCAGAAGAATGAATAACGGACATGACAGAGGAATTATCAAAATGTAAGACTTCTAACGCACATGGTATTGGTCCAAACTACTGTAATCTCATCTGACTAATCACAAAATAACGGTATAGCATTTAAAATCGTTGATTGGATGGCTATTTATCCTTCAGATATTGAAAGAAATATACGATTTAAAAATATTTACCTTTTTCAAACTACAAACCGGAAGTCGAGCACTGAACGAAAAGCTCCTTAAATACTAGTATTCATGTAGTTTTCTGGGAATTTGCAAATTTTAGCGCCCGGTTTATTTTAACCCCTGTTTATTTTAATCCCGGTTTATTTTAGCGAATTGAATTTTTAGCGAAACTATAGCGATCGCTAACAATCGCTAACAATGGGGTAGGTGTAAATTTTTTCCAAACAAATGCGTGATATACACATATTTTGTACAAAATGCGTGACATAAACATGCAATCGCGTGCAAAGACCGAACCGAATGCGTTCGCTTTTTTTCGCCGTTCGGTATTTTACCGTTTCGGAATTTCACAAAAAACGATTTTTAAAAATATCAACAAAATGCGTGATAACTGATATGCGTGATATTTGATCACACACGCTAAATTGATAAGGTAACGTGATTTCTATTTTCCCAGCAAATGCATGACAATCACGCCTAATGCGTGAAGGTTGACAGGGCAGTTAACCCACCATTTCTCTATAGTTAACATGGGTTCTTCCATTTTTAAAAATTCTTCAACTTTGACATCAATTTTTGACATATTGTAATTGAGAGATTAAATTGAAATTTCCTGAAATACAGTATAGAAAATTGATAAATCATGTATTTTTATCAGGGGTCCCTTAGAGACCCTTAATAAAAAAATCGTCACTCCTGTGAAATTTTGCTTTATTGTTTTTCTCCAGGGGTCCCATTTTGATAAAACTGCAAGAATAATGCATTTTCTAAAAGTATGGACCAGTAGTAACATCAAAAGGTTGTTTTAATCTGACAATGCCCTGCAAATTTATAGGTACTTGAATCTGTCATATTGCGAAAAACGATAAAATCCCATGTTACAACGACATAGGGATTT